AGGGTGCAGACGGTGGAGGGTCCGTGATTGGCGGGACATTAGTGTAATGAGAGTCTTGAGTTAAGGGGTAAAACGTGGTAGCAGCTACCGCGGCGTGTATCCGCCATGATTAGAGCCTCTGCTTGCATTTTCGCCGATATCGTGAGTTCGCGAAATCGCTCCTGCAATTTTAATCCTCGTCTCGAGACTCTTCCTTCGTCCAAGGCAGGGACGAAAGAATGTCGATGAAACGATGTACTATATAATCGGCAAGGAATAAAGAGAAAGCTTATGTGAAAGGAGGCCTGCCAGAGATACAACTGGTCTCACCGATTGGCATGTACACAGCTGCGGGTACATATGCACGCATTTTTGGATCGAGCTACATTAATCGTAAAGACATTCGTATATAGTGGAACATGCGTGAACGACACAAACGATGTAGCCTGGTATCGATTTGATTTATGGTACGACATAACGATGTATTCGTTGACACTGCAACGCGTGCTATGCATTGCTCGGCTTATCGTACTTATAGAGACTACGTGATTTCTGTGTATCGGTTCTTCCTTATCTTCGCATATTCATTCCCTCATGAATATTTTACTAAGCCTTACAACCCGTTTCTCGCTTATCATGCATTGAAATGTTACCAAGCCTGGACGATCGATTTTTTTCCTACCATCAATGTTTTTCCAGTCAATCTCTATGCACAAGTGCCAGCTTGGTTGCCTGCACTTAGGCGCGCAACACGCCGATCGCCGTTGCATCCCGATCTACCGCATAACGTCACTTTTGCGTTGTCCTTTTTAGACGTTACCAACCGGTCGTACGCAAAAACGACTAGGATAAAAGGATCTCCATGCTTAACATGGTTTATCGACAAAAACGATAAGGCAGCCAACGTTTAGCAACAATGTTTCCTACTTGAAAGAGGTTAGATCGAGGCACGAGAGCCGATGTAAGTCGCAAAGTTACCCTCTAATCATAACCGCGAGTCTGACCGCAGTCCGGATGCAGGGAAGCACGTGTTCTGCCGGTTCCGCCAGCAGGTCGGCCAGTCTCGTCCATGGGCATTACGTATTCAGTGGCCAGCGCCATTTTGCCTCGACCATTTTTGCCGATCAAATCTTAATTGTTGGCTGGCGGCTGTCTAAGGAGGCGTGGCCATTGGTTGGTTCACTTTCTGCCACGCGATGCACGAACGCATTGGTTTTCTTCTTCTTCTTCTTCTTCTTCTGCTTCTTCTACTACTTCTACTTCTTTTTCTTATTCTTCCTCAAGGAACACGATACATCGCGACTTTCGAATCGTTTATGATCCATTGCTGTTCACCGGCTAAGACCCCAACACACGATTAAATTGTTTATGCTATGCAAAACTAAGAATCTTCGTGTTTGTTCCACTATAAGAAAAGTCGCAGACGCGAACAATGCCTTCGATTTTTAAGAATTATAGAGTTCCAACGTAAAAACTAGTCTAAGGGAAAGAGCCTCGTAATTAGTCAGACCGATGGAAAGTAGTAATTATAGATTAACTCCGGCGCCACCGGCGGCAAGTAGTAATAAATCCCTACGGAAACGCAGAGTACGCGTTCTAGGACTGAAACACCGGATTTCTGGATGATAAAATTCAGTATTACACCATTATATACGTTAACTCTATTAATTTTTCACAAATTATTCGCCGAGCAACGACAGTTGAAGACACGTTAAGAAGCTTTCGTGTGCCAGTAATTAATTTTAATTGCTGTATACGTGCATGCATAATGATAATTTATGCGCGTCTATACATTGTAACAACCTCAGAAAGGCATATAGAATTAATTAGCACCTTCGCAAATTATTGCTACTGATCGATCCAAAAGGTGTGTAATTAAAGGTTTATGAGTTTCTTAAGTTCGTGTAGCACGCACCAGTTGCTGTTGTTTAAACTCGTATAAGAAATTTAATAATTCTTAACGAAGAAACTGGATTGAATTATAATTTGAAGTACATGCGGTACACGCGTCCAACAGATACCACGTAATTATCGCCAAATTAATATCGTGTGTAGAATAACCGAGGCCGGTAGACGATGGAACGGTGCGCACTGCTGCTAACCTTCTCGCCATAATGACACGTATTACTCTGATTGGCAACAATTGGTAACAATTGACGGGCGGAACCGAGCCTCGGAGGTTCCGCTATTTTGCCCGTGTTGTTTACGAGCAGAACTTCGAAACGTTACACCTTAATTGCGTGGCTACATGTCCGAAGAATTATCAAGGTTTCTTCTTCTTCTTTACCTCCCTACGCAATTAGTTGTTACAGACGTATCTACGGTATGTACCCCGGCAAGGGTGTTACAATCTGGTTCATCCTGAACGCGTCCCTCGAACAGTCTTTCTTAAGTTCATCACGAGCTTCCATCCTCTTCGAAAGTGTACAATAACCAGTTGTTCCAAATTGGTCAATAATTATGAGCGACGTTATCTGTTAACGAGAAGGAAGTCCCTTCGCGGTGAACCGAGTATCTTCACCGGATTCGAATACGGCTATGTTTTAAGAATTAACTTCGTTATGAACTTTTTCATTTACCGAGCTTCCTGCATAATTTTCCATTGCAACATTGTCCCGAATATGGATATGCAAACGAAGAAAGGAAGCGATAAGTTGTAACATGTTCCTGCACGATGGAGCAACAGCTGGGAAAAGCTAGACCGGTCGTTCTATCATCTTTCATTTGCCTCGTAAAAACACGAAACAGCGGATGCAACTTGCAAGTAACATTGCATTTTATGAGCACGTAATGCAGCCGATAAACCGTACCGTGTAACCCACTTGTCGAGAAGTTGTTACATTTTTATGCATTAGAGATTCGCTTCATTTCTTCGCTTCTCTTCCTTTTACCTTGAACTTAAATTCATCAACGCGCGTGCTACTTGTTTAACGAATAGCAATGAGAAAGAATTGAAAATGTAATTGATAGTTTCGTATGCAGCGGTTTTTTTAAATTCGAAACGAAGGATATCAATTAACACAGGTGTCGATTAAGTCATCTCGAACAGTGATTACAGTGCGCGTATCGTAACGAGATACAACAATTTTATACGCTGACTAATTGGCTTGTACTCGATAGTTTGAACGTTATTTCCTCGTAAACGCGAGTCCTGTGAGTTTCTCATTAAACGATCGTTTCTACATTTATTATCTTCCAATGCAAACTCTGTTCTTATTTCCAGTACCCTGTTATTCGACGCTCCATTTACGATCCATCTTCATTTTTTATAGCAATAAAAGCTTATGGTACAGTCGAAAACACCGCAACCAAATGACTGGCGAAACATTACGACGTTACTATTGCCTCTAACCAAATGACAGGCCCAGAAGGTGTGCAGTGTTTGAACAAAGACTTAATGCACCTTCTTTGTTGGTGCTTGCTTTCGTCGTTGCACTAAATGAAGGGTTATACCCTTGGTTCGATAAGAAATACACGAGAGTAACCGATTTCCCTGTACTTACGTTCCTCGAAATACAGGTTAAACTGAACGTGATTCAAATATATATTGATTACGTAATAATTATGAAATAAACGACGCTGTTATATCGTTTTATGATTCATCAAAGTTTACCGTACGCAAATAAATCTTCGGGCAACGAGGAGCCCGTCGGTCTTTCGACGGAATTAGTAACGCAATCCTTCAATTCAGTGTATATCTAATCTGCCAAAATTCCTATAATTCGTCGGTCTGTAATACGCTTTTTATCGAAATTGTTGGCCAATAAGGCTAGCAGAAAGAAGGGAATCGATCGTGTGCCGCGCCGACAAGATGCTCCAGTGCACCACTGACGTCAGCGAGTTTGCGGTCTCCAAATTACAATATCACGAAAACGAGCGACTCAAGATGCTATGGTATGGTATGGTATGGTATGGTATATGGACCGGAGAGAAAGGCAGAGGAAAGGTCCTTTCCGCCAGCCGTGCGCTCGTGAAATAATAGCCTTCTGATTATATGCATTATATAAGCTGAGATTGATACGGTTCGTAATAAAATAATTGAAATAATCACACGCCACAAGGTCGACTTTACTTTAGAAATCTGTTGACCGAACGAAAACGGCAGTTAACGAGATATCATGCACGGAACGAGTATGTTCGAGATGATTAAAATCCTGTAAACGATTCTTCAATTAGTACTCAATTAATTCCACATTTTTCTTTCGATTCGATCGAGTTACGATGACTTTCAGACCAAAAGGACTCGATGAAGAGTCCTCATTCAGATGCAAAGTCGTCATCGACGATCGTCTCATCCTTTCTTGATCTGATCTCACGGCGCCACTAGGGCAGACATCAGAGCACACATACACGAATATTCGGACTCACACACAATCGTATTTTTTGTTCCATTCTACGGCAATCTTAATATTATCCTTCGAATTACGGGCCTCCGATGATCCACAACGTGCGTTCCCATCACATACGCACACCATCGAATTAGACCCCAATAATCGTGTGCACATTTCGGAGCGGAACACTTTTCTTTGCGTGCATCTACATCATCCGTATGAATGTTACAAAAAATTGGAAGCATTAATTGACTAAATTGACAAATACACCCTTGTTTTATGAGGGTAATCCGCGCTCTCCGATGGTTTTTGCGTGCAATATCAATCATAAACATTTTTGTGAACTTCGATAGGGTTTTAAATTTGTTTAGGAGTAATGTGCGTGTTTATGGTTTCCACGAAAGCATTGCAATCAGCCCTCTTTGATGGCCTCTTTTTCTACGGGAGATTAAAGGTACTGCTTCATTTCGTGAAGCTATTCCTAGAATTATAATGAACTCGACTGCGGATAGACGTTTCGAGAAGATGCAATCATAATCATCCTGCAAATATATATTTTATTCTACTTTGAAGCTCTTTTTTGTATTTTTTTATGAAATTCAAACGAAGTATAAGTTTTAGTCGATAATACAGTTCCCTGTTTCGAAACTGCAGGCCGGTCGACCCGTGACGTCATTGTGGTGCTGTGTTCCTTCACTTGCCACGCGTTGTGCAGCGATATATACTCATAGAAACTAACGAAAATATACAAGGTATTTAATCAGCGTTTACTAGCCTAACATATTTGTGCAGTGAGTGGGATCGGTGTCATTTCCATAGACGTCAATATAACTATCGTAACAGACAGGTAACGTACGCAACCTAAAAATGATGCAACCTTACTTATGCCAGTAACGAGGTACAGGTAGAGCTTACACGTAAGCAACCAAGTTGACCGTATTACGAGAACATTAGGAAACGTAGAATTTAAGATTGTTATGGTTAGCAATCGATAAATACCATAAGTTTCCTCGCAAAAGTAAGGTTAAGTTGCCGTGTGCCAGATGTGTGTAGTTCGAGAATAAAGGGTTAGGTGGCAGCACTATGCAATTCGTCCGCAGCTCCCTCAGTTAATCAATACCGATACTAAAATCACGCGGGATATTTAAGTCGTATGAATTTATGTCGTGTTCAACCCGAAAAGAATTATTAACGACCAAGTCCTCCGCAATTAACGTTAAAGTCGTTGAATCTAGAGATACGATTACGAAAGGCACGCGGTAAAGAGGGGACGATGATGCTGCGGCGCCAAAGCGGCTCTTGAGTAGCATCGCGGGCGGGTCTCTTCTTCTCTTCCATTATCGTAATTTGCAAATTTCCTGGGGACCGACCGTGATGAGGAACGACGAGAAGTGGCGCGGTTTCAAGTTAAACCGTTGTTGGGGACCGGGTAGTTTGGGGATGGACGGAGAAAGAGGATGAGGAAGGCCGGTTGGATGGTTAAGAAGAGGAAGGTGAAAGAGAAAAGAGTAAAGAGGAAGAAGAATCGCAAAGTCGGTGGCGGATTGGCGGCCTGAGGCGCGGTTGCAGATTCCCGGCGTGATGCCGGTGATTCGCGGCTTTGGTGCCCAGTAATCGTCGGTCCCCTTACTCAACGTATTCCTCCTCCCTCGCATCTTTCCTCGGTGAATCCACCTCATCCCTTCTCTTCATCCTCTCCAACTGGCCTCTCTTCGCTTTTCTTCGCCTTCCTCTTCCTCCCTTTGCCTCCTGTAGGCGTCTTGTAGTTGCATCGGTCCTTTGATATGGCGCGGCCCGTTGTACACCGAAGGATGGGGAGGAAAAAGGGGAGGCAATCTCGCGGTAAATACAGCAATCGCTTGATGTGCCGTCCGCATTAATATAATTAGTCACCCCGAGCGCTCGAGAAGTCGACTTGACTCAACTCAACTTGACTCGACTCGACTCGACTCGACTCGACTCGACTCCACTCCACTCGACTTGATTCTGTTCGAAATACCGTGAAGCCGGGGGCAGTGCACGTATAAGGTGAAGCATGGTGGACTGTTAAGGATTCAGAGGGTTGGAAGAACGAGGGCGTGGTCGATCCATGTTGGATCATTTTCATTTCTATCCATGCAAACTGATATCCCTCCCCTTGCCCCTTTCATAAATGCATTCGTTTTTACGTGCCGCACGTTAGTCTGTAAGCTGTAGACAAAGACGGACCAGTACCTCTGAGGGGCAGTGATGACATTTATCGATGGTAACGAACGCGAATTTTGGGACTTCTTTTTATATCGTGATAAAAAAGTAAAACACCATTAGATCAAGTGCGACAATAATGGATCTGTATTCTTTCCTAGAATGGCGCCAAAAAAGGTTGAGGAGCCTGAACGAAAACCACTTATTGGCCGTGTCGGAACCAATTTGAAAGTTGGTATAGTAGGCATCCCGAACGTAGGAAAATCAACCTTCTTCAATGTCCTCACCAAAAGCCAGGCGGCTGCAGAGAATTTCCCCTTTTGCACCATCGATCCCAATGAAAATAAGTATCTAAATCTATTATAATAACTTTTACTAATTTAGTGTATCGTTACAAGTATTTAACCTATTATTTGCTCGTCATTTATTTGTAACCATATACCGAAGCATCACGGTGTGAACCTCAAAATGTGTCTTTTAAAAGGAGATTTCATTGAAATACATATTTTAAAATGTGCGATGAAAGTTCGCGTCGGGAAAAACGCGAACCACAAAAAATCGACGACGAGGAGTTTTACGCGGATCCATCGTTTATCATAAAAAAGAGTTTCTTTCGATTGATTAAAGGACATCCCCGTGAGGAGTACGTTCCTTGGTGGCCCAATTCTCATCGATGCCTGTATCCAAAACCCAACTCTTATTATGCATTCCACGAGGATACCAATCCTTTTACAAGATTCTCCGCGAAATGCGAATCTAGAAGATATGGGAACGTTCAACCACACTTCGAACCTCCCAAAGAACCTTACACAATTCGTGACCCTTATTCCGAGAATGAAGCGAAAAGGAAGTATCTTGGAAGTACACCAACATCTTTCGTTATTTTGGGAAAGCCTGATCTAAACACTACGAAGCTAGCAACCATGATTGCAAATTCTTGGCACTGCATCTTGATTTCCCCAATGGTGCTCATAAAGGATGAGATCGAAAAAAGTACCGAGACGGGTAAAATTTTGGCTGATATTTTAAAGACAGGCGAACGCTTAGGTCCACAGATTGTTATGAGTTTAATAGCGAACAGACTAAATAAAAGAGATGTGTTTCACAGAGGTTATGTCGTGGAAGGTGTACCGCTAATTCCAAACGAAATATTAGATTATTCCTCTTATTCGAGATCCTCGAACGAACAATCTAACGTGGAAAATACTTTTCAGAAACTTACGAAACTCTATGAGCCTTCGTTTCAAAAAATATGCAGCACGATGGCTGAGTTTCCAATTTTCTCTGATCAAGAATTTAAGAATAAAAAGTGCCAAGTTAAACCCAAGTACGAGGATTTTATCGTCAATCAAATCGAAGATATTTTTACGACGTGGCCTATAAAGCCATCGATAATTATCTATGCAATGTGTCCGGATGCAGACGTCGTGATAAAACGCGAACATTTTCGTATAGATCCAAGTACAGATCGCATCGTAGACACGAGCCTCCTTGGAATGAGCAGAAACATTGAAACATTGTTCTCTCGTAACAAAGAGGTAAACGACATGAACATTTCTTTTGAATTGTATCAAGAACTTATGAACGAGGAACGAATATTAGACGAACACCAAAAAAAGTATCTATTGAAACGAATCTCCGATACGAAATCGAACGTGGAAGTACAGTGCAAGCTATACAAGCGTTTTGCATTACCTGTTATCGAAAAATTGATTCTATTTCACAATCCGCAAAATGTAATTCGTGTTGACGGTCGTACGCCTGCGTCGCGAATGTTTCAAATCATTGTCACTCGTTTGCGTATGTTACCACTTCCACGAGTTATTCTTCCACGAAAATACACGAATCGTATAGGGTTCGAGGGTGAATCCCCAGAGGATGAACTTCTGGAAGAGTTTGAAGGCAAATCGAACGAAGAAGCATTCCAAGATCTGGCCAACAAGGAGACCATTTCACCTCTCTATCCTTGGCAACTATCACCTTGGAGGTTTCTGTGTCCAGTGGAACTAACCAGAGGAACAACCACAGAAGGAACACCAAAGCATGCCGTTAGGTTTATGAACAATGTTTTCTTCCTCTCGTCACCAGAGGCAGCTGATTTGTTTATTGAAAATCCTAGAACCTTCCTGTTTCCTTTTTCTCCTCGACCAACTTGCAAAATTGCGGTGTTCGGTCCAAAGTATTCTGGAAAATCTGAACTGTCGGGGAAACTGGCGCATATGTTTCGAGGCACGATAATAAACGTAAACGAAATTGTGAAGCCTCTCGTGAACGTTGATTCTGATATCTCTATTTATTCGCCTGATGATGTATTGTTGGAAGAGAAGACTGATACTATCGTGAAAAGTATACAAGATGTGCCAAAGGAAGAAGTAGACATAGAAATATGGAGAGACGGGGGTTACATCGTGGATGGCATGTATCCTAACGTTGAGAGCTGGAAAAGGATTGTGGAAGATTCAAAGATTATCTTTGAAGATGTTGTTCTTTTATTTGACGAGGATCCGTACGAATATCTGTTGACCAAATGGCACAATATTCATGATATGAAAGAATACATAGAATTAAAAGGAGAATATAATGAATACTTGGAAGATACTATCAGCGAAAGCAAAGGCGATGAATATGATGATGATGACGAAGAAGCAGAAGAATCGCAAGGACTGATAGATTATCTTAGGCATATTCGACAATTTGAGATAGATTGGGAAAATGTGAGAGAAACAGTGACGAATACTTGTCAAAATTTGATCCTTTGTAATCTTAAAACGATCAGTAATGTATCGGATTACGTTATCAAGCGTATTAAAAATCGTTACATGGATAAAGCGAGAATCATGACCGACGAGGAAAAGGAAAGAGAAAAAGATCTTGCGGAATACATCGCACTGACTGATACAGAAGATCTGGATGAAGAAGAGGAGCTAGAAGGCGAAAAGACCACGGAATTAGACGTTAAAGAGGATACTCGTCGTTTGGGTGACACTGGTTACTACTGTCCAGTGGCACTGTTACGATACAATGTTTTTCGAAGAGGTAAAGAAGAGTTTAGCGCAATTTTTATGAATAAAATATATCTTCTCTCTAGTGCCGCAGCTCTCGAAGAATTTCTCCGTGGTCCACAAGAATTAAATCTCCCATTTCGAAAACCCTTACCTCAAATTCCCCCGTTTCGCGTTAGTATCATTGGTCCATTAGGAAGCGGTAAAAGTATACTATCTGGGAACATAGCTCGAGAGTACGGTTTGGCTCACATCGATCACTGCGATGCTTTCACCGATTACATGAAAAATCGAGGAATGCCAGCAATTTCTGACAGAGACATCATCATTTCGCCAGAAAATCTTTTGGAAAAAGTGGAATTGCCCGAAGACCTGGATGACGATAGATACAACTGCGATGCTGCAACGATGCAGACGTTCGTTCAACGCTACTGGAGAACAGGGGGTACTTTGTCAAAAAAAATGCTTCAGGAATGTGTGTTAATATTTTTCGAGGGACTTTACAACGAATGCGGTGTAGTCCTCGATCACTTTCCGAGCTGCCCGCAAAACGTACAAGACGCGTTAAAAAATTGCACGATTCCTGAAATAGTCATAGATCTTCGTTGCGGAAAAGACACGGTGATTAAAAGAACGCTGCCTACGTTACTCGCGGACTGGAAAGATAGACTGGAAGAGAAGCAACGTATTGAAGATGAACGATATGAAAAAGAACTAGAGGCTTACATAGAAAAACAAGAAACTTGGATTGATAAAATGCTGGATGAAATGCTCGATCAACATGAGGCAGAAGAGGAGTCCTCGATGGACGATAATTTCGAATCGGAGGCAACAGTATTAAATAGAGAAGAACTCGAAGAAATTTGGCTTCGAGAACATCCTGAGCCTGTACTCTTCACCGACTGGGAAGACTTCGAGGAGGTCAAGCAGAGAATCGAGCATGATTTTGAAGAAATGTACGAAGACGAATTTCAAAAACTAAACGCTACGCAAATTGAGTTAGAAAACGAATCGATACCGTATGTAAGTGTGAGCGCAGAAGGAAACGAAGAACAAGTTCTTTCGCAAGTCTTGCAAATTCTCGATCCTCTTTTTTATCGAGACCTTTCTTTCATAGAAAAAACGTATACTATCGATCTCGAGACAGCCGAAACTCTTCTAGATTGCGGCTACTATCTTCCAAGCTCCTTTGGTTGCTGGTGCCCCGTCCAATTACACGAAAATAAGATCCCGTTGCAAATGTTTCTACCGCTGGAAGCTCAACAAGAAGTTTATCCCGTAATATACCGGCAATTCGTTTATTTTCTTGGCGGTAAAGAAGCTCATTCAGCGTTTTCAAGAAACCCGCTCAAGTACCTCGAACAAGACTCTTGCGCGCCTGTTGTTCCATTTCGGCTGTCCATTATTGGCCCTCCAAAGTGTGGAAAAACCACTCTGGCGCGTCGATTTGCAAACACGTATGGCTTAAAAATAATAACTCGTGGCACGGCTATGCGTCACCTCGTTAAATATTTTTCCTGGACTGATTCAGCGCGATTCATGGAATCTCGTCTTCGAGCTGGTCACATTGCTCCTGAGGAGACAGTATCACGCTCTGTCGAGATGTATTCCATTGATCCTGCTTCGATTTCTCAGGGTTTCGTGCTAGATGGTTTTCCTACGACCCGTGCAGAATACGAGCAATTAACCTTTCTAGGTATACAGCCAATGATCGTACTCGATCTTAAAGCGGATCTGTCGTTTTGTCTGGAGTGCTTGTCTTATGAAGCGGATCGGACGACAAAGCCGATGAATTTCTCAAACAGTTTCTTGAAGCATCGTTACCTGAACTGGGAGATCGATCAAGGAAACTTCCGTGAATGGCTGAAGAAATTTATTCAAAACGTGATCGAAATTGACGCGACTAAAAGCACGTGGTACGTGTGGACGCGAGCCGAACAAGAAGTTTGCTCCAGATACATACATGTCAGAACATACTTTCGCGAAAGCGATTACGACAAAGTCCATGCTTTAAAATTTATGAGCGTTTCACCGTACGAGTTTAAAATACGTCAAAGCGGATTCGAATCGTATTGTCCTCTTTGCTTGTATCAGGAAAACTCTTTGAGAACTACAGGACCTCCGGCCGATCATCGAGGAATGTTTCAGTACAGAGAACATTTCTATTGGATCTGCCTGCGACACACGAACGAATTCGTAAAAAATCCACAAAAGCATCTTCCACCTATAAATACTGCTCACCTCCCGGAAAACCGTCCGCGTATTTTAACAGAGATAGTTGACATGGAACATCCCTGTTGGGCAAGACGTTTGCAAGTCGGAGGATTTTGTTTGGTGACGTACGTCGAGAATTTACCTAATCGTCGACTCGTACCTGGAAATACGAATCTTGGGGTTCTGTATCAGGACAATGTGTACCTGTTTTGTACCGAAGAATGTCGCGAAAAGTTTCTAGCGCAAAACGATAGGTACGCGAACGTGGACATAAAGTTTTTGCATACACTGCCGCCAATCACTATAAAACAATTACCGACTCTTGGTTTTCTGAAGGAATCAGTGGCAAAATGGATAGTCGAAGCTGTGAATCAAGTCAGCGTAAAACGACCAAAAATACCAGGGTTATCGTGTTCCGCCAGCGCTGCAATTTACATTGGTGTCTACTTAAAAACTCACAACCCCTCGGGAGCGAACGAATTAAAGATCTATAGCGAGGTGAGAAGAAGAATGATCGGTTACGACAATATTATTAGGGTAGCTACCCGTACGATGAAGAAGAAACTGAATCCTTTTGTACGTACACCTATTTATAAAGCTGGAACTTCCGAGCAAGTTACAATAAGCCAAGAAGTGTCGATAACGTCCCAAGTATACCCACGTATCTCAAATTCAATTATGTTCCGTCGAACATCCCCAACGCAGATTTTAACAGAGCCCACTTATGAATCGGATGATTGAATCTAGAATTTGTACTCATCCCTGACTGTATCTCAGTGCAATAAACGATTGATAAACCATTACATAAATGTGTGATTATTTTTTGTTCTCTGCACACTATCTTTATCGTTGTGCAATATTCTTTTCGCTCGAAATCTAACTAATTTTTGTTTTCCAGCACGTCGCGTACCAGTACCCGACCCGAGGTTCGATTATTTGTGCGAATATTTCAAACCAGTCAGGTAAGCATCCACGTAAATGTTGTTCGATCGTGTATTATCGAAAGAAAAAACGACGAGTCTATCTAGAAATGCACCCTCGCTATGGGAAACGAGTTGGAATAACTATTGGCATTTCCATACTTCTTCTCCGCTTTTATTTTCGCGAGTTGGGAACAGGGGCGACGGGAGAAAACGGTACGTGATCTGCAATGCAGATTCCACTAAATTCGTCTACGCGACACATAGTCACCGAATTGAACATCCGCCGAATTTACATACCTTTTTCTTTCCTCGCTCTACAATATCTACACGTTTAAGATAATGTTTTCCGTGTCGTGTCAAGTCGAACTGTAATAGATGATTAAAATCCTATCTCGTCAACTGATGGTTCGTGATATTGTACAGTTTCATTGAAACACGTGGAAAGCACTACACGTAGCAGCAAGGTGTAGGTGGGCAACCATCGATGAAAAGCGTGTTTACCGTAGCCACGCGTCATCATGCTAGCTCGTTGACACGATGAGATTGAATGTTCCTACAAAGCAGCCTGTGCCAGTCGTGACAGAATTGTAAAGCATACCGTTCGATTGATGTTAAAATATTCTTTAAAGCTGTTAAACAAGCAATCAAAGGGTAGAGAAAATACGTAGAAATCGATGAAGTATGAATCGTAAAAAGACGATAATTATCGAATTGAAAGTCCAAGTTTGCTTTGCGACACGTGCTCGGTTCACAATTCCGCTAATTCAGAGAGAGATTGAAATGCGAAACGGTCTCTAGATCAAAGAGCATCTCTTTATCCTGGTCTCCCACGATCTAACGCTGGCACATTCTCTTGTCAATGACATTGCACGGTCCGACTACCGTCACGTGTCGAACGATTCAACGATCCCTAATGAAAGCCACCTAACACGGCATCCCCCTTCTTGTTCATTTTACCAACGCCTCTCTTCAAAGGCTAATTGTTTAATGAGGCTACTCGTCGCATTAGCATTTAAATACAGCTCGTTGTCACTGCGACACCCTCGGGTTTCAATTCTAGACGCACGCGCGCGTGTCTCGCTGTGATCTGTAATCGCCTGTCAACCCCCTCCAATGACGATTACATCAATAAGATGAACACAAATTTTTGCATATGCTTTCAGCAAAGTTCCAGCGTTCTTAAACGTGGTGGACATTGCCGGATTGGTAAAAGGCGCCGCCGAGGGACAGGGTTTAGGAAACAGTTTCCTCTCGCACATCAACGCTTGCGACGGCATTTTCCACCTTTGTCGTAAGTTGCTTCTACGAAACGTACCGCATTCTACTCTGAATAAGCGGTCATTTTGCACGACTAAGCGATGTTGTTATTGTTCTGGACAAACGATGGACGATAAGATCAATTATGTTAAGGGGAGGACGGGCAAGCGTCGATCAGATCGAAAGATTAGTTTGCAACGTGTTTACCGCATTCGTGTACCGATGCACATAGAAGCGCAAATTTATCCGTCACACGAGTGTTTGAAAAGAGCTAATCGCGGTATCCTGAATTGTCTGGTTGCAGGTGCGTTCGATGACGACGACGTCACCCACATAGAGGGAGATGTGAATCCTGTAAGGGATCTTGAAATCATCAGCGATGAATTGCTGCTAAAGGACATCGAATTTTTAAATGTCCACCTCGAAAAGCTGGAAAAGCTTGTTGTTCGAGGAAACGACAAGAAACTTAAACCAGAATACGTAAGCATTCATATTTTCAGGAACCTTTTTTTTTTTTAAATTGAGGTGAATCGATCGTTTTCTTACGAGTTTCGCGTCGAAAAGCAAAGGAAATTGTCGTAAATGCAAGCACATCGAGGAACCCGAACGAACTTACCAAGGAAATTAAGAGAGCCAGGTCGGTACACTACTTCCTAGAACGAATCAATCGAATTACCCCTCTTTCCGTGGATTGACCCACGGCAATTTCCGATCTCTCCCTCGTTCTAGACTTTGCAATTTGCTAAAACTTTTCGAGAGCTCGAAGCTACCTCTTCGTTCTTTCAACCAAACTAATGGAACGACGTTTTCGCGTACCACCCCGTTAATCACATCTCGATCACGAAATTATTCCGCCTAATGGTGCACACTCGTACACTCAAATACTAAACGGATCGTTGATTTCTTTTTCTTACTATTACTACCCTTGCTATATTTACATAGCAGGGAATTTTTAGGGAAAAAAAAGATAAATTTACGTACACAAGAGAGGTATAATTGAGCACTTTTCTGCGTAGGACACGTTATTGAAAGTAAAAGGTGTAATGGTGGATGAGAAGAGGCATATTAGGTTTGCTGATTGGAGTGCCACTGACGTAAGTTGATTGTGTCAATTTACCAATTACACGTTCAATTTGTCAGTCTAAAAAAAAAAATATACTCCGGTTATTGCAGATCGAAGCTCTCAACAAATATTTATTCCTCACGTCAAAACCAGTTATTTATCTAGTTAATCTGTCTGAGAAAGATTACATACGTAAGAAGAATAAATGGTACGTATACATCATCGGTTCTTACATCGAGGATTTATTTTCATTCTCGAATATTATCTATATTCCTGCTTGTAAATGATTGATCGAACATTGTGTTTTATGAAATATCTAGGTTGATCAAAATAAAGGAATGGGTCGACAAAAATGACCCGGGCGCTGTTTTGATCCCGTTCAGCGGTGCTTTCGAAAATAAACTAGTCGATATGGACGAAGCAGAGCGTGCAAAGTATCTCGAAGAAAATAAGGTTACCAGGTGAGCAGAGAGGTGCCTATCATTTTCAACAATACAATCCTATTAAACGCTATACCTAAATTCTTCAAGTTCACGCCCTTAAAATTACCCTCGTCTTTATACTTGCAAATGAAAGGATCGTCAGAACGTGTACCGTATTCTACTTGAAAATAGCATACTTTGGGACGTTCGAGTCGCATTTACGGACCAATTATTAAAACACTGCCCAGAGATACGTTGCAAGAAAAGGAGGTGAACGTTCGTAAAATTCGTTTAGTCTGGTCCTCGAGCTAACCCGAGAAAAAACTTGGTTCCCACATTTAGCTATGCACCGAGTTATCTACTAGCGGTAATAATAATGGAGGGCTCGGTCTAAACGTCTAGACTAGTCCCCGCTCTCTTTTTCTCCTACAGGATGACTAATAAAAGCTGCGGCATCTTTGCCGCATTATATTTTTACGAACGGCCATTCAAATTCTTGCAAAATTGCATAAAAACCCCCTCTCACCTTGCCGGGCACACCGGTATAACCAGGGAGACGAGTGGAGTGAGGATCAACCGGTTCACTTGACTAGTAGGTCATTCGCAAATAAAACCAATCTGCGTAAACTCGATCGAATTTGTGTACATTCGACACATTGAAATTGCCTATAAACGTGTGCGTTCTATGCGGCATATAATTGAGAAAAATAATTAAAAAAGTAATTCTACATAATCGCGGGAATAAAAGAGATAATTACTGTAAACTAAAAGTGGCATAGAGGAACGTTGATTGTAGCCAAGATGAAAAATATTAAATCGTGCTCACCAATGATGCCCATAATCCCCACGTCGGTGGTTAGAAATCTAAATTCTTCGGCAAATTTTGTCGATCCTTTGAAATGATCGTATAGGATAGGCTCGCTCACTCGGTAATCATAGAGTACAAACGGAAGATTTTTAGATACCGCGATTTTATTTCGAGACCACAGATAACTAAGGCGCCGAACTGGATCTCGAATAGAGTCAGAGTGATAAAATTGCGGTATTAAGTCGTTCAGCTTTATGTGTATTCCGTGAAGTCCCAAAGTTCGTCGGGACCACGGAACTGGATGGCTTCCCTTCCTCTACCCTGTCATTAGACGATATTCGGCTCGAGACAATCATATTCCACAGTCCTCTTTCTAACCACCCCTTTCTTCTTTCGACCGAGAATCCGTCCTTTTTCTAATGATCTCTACCAAAGCACACAGTTCATTTCTTCTCGGTGTGTAAGTTTTAGTGTTGTATCGTTCCACATAGTATGGTCTACTTACGTGCTTTTCATTCAAACATTCATACTTTCATATTTTCACTAAGGATTCATTACCTTCAATTTTCAGTGCTCTTGACAAGATTATCGTTCAAGGATACAAGGCACTGCAGCTGCAATACTTCTTTACGGCAGGACATGACGAAGTCAAAGCATGGACGATTCAGGTAAACAAAAATGAAGGTGCTTTTCTTTTTCGTTCAGTAAATTACTGGTATATGTATATGTTCATCACTTTAGAAAGGTACAAAAGCACCACAAGCTGCAGGAAAGATCCACACAGACTTCGAAAAGGGATTCATTATGGCCGAAGTAATGAAATTTGATGATTTTAAAAATGAAGGATCGGAAGCAGCGGTGAAGGTAAGCGTTGGAAATGACACCTGCATTGATATTTTATGCATGCCCTTATCTTGATCCTTTCGTTCAAACAGGCTGCAGGAAAATACAGACAACAAGGACGTAATTACGTGGTGGAGGATGGAGACATTATTTTCTTCAAGTTTAACGCTGGTGCAGGGTTAAAAGACCCGAAGAAAAAGTGATGGCACGCATTGCTCGTGTTGTTACTCGTCCATTTGTACATCAACATGATCCTGATGTTTTGTTGCACACGAGACACGTATATGAAACAATCCAACTCGCTTTCAGATATCCCTTGACTTCTTTCTGCGTTACTTCCGGTAATATCTACCATCACTGATAACGATAACAAACACTTGTATAGCGAAGCAGGTATTTTTATATATTTTATCATACAATAAATGTATCAGACCTTTTCTTTGTAAGATTACGAATCAGTTGTCGCCTTCTATTGTACCAATGTTGGTAACTATTTTTGGTACAGTGATTACAACCTCAGTGAGGATAACATTTACATTTCGATACTATTAATATGTAAATAAGCAATAATGGCTTCGTAATATGCTTCTGTCGCTTCGAATAAAATAAAGGAGGAGGAAGTACGTCGAAAGGAGGAGTATTATTTGAATGGTTTTTTGTATATTAACATATTTATTCTATATAAATATATTTCGTTTAAAACGAAGATGTGTTTCTCTTTTGTAATAAACACCTGTTCATTGATTTCATGCGCTTATAGAAACCGCGTAAGTAGTAATAGCAAATACTTCGTTTCTTTATGCTGGCAATAGATGGACCTACTATTCAATTTTTCAAGAAGCGCGCCTATCGATTTTGATATATAAACAGTTATATATCGCAGTAAATAATTTATAACTGCATTTTTCAATAAAATATTTTAATCTTTCTCGTCGCTAAAAATTATTACCATATCACGTTTAGGACAATTATCATCTTTGGTGTAATTTAAAACTAGAACATGGCAATTTGTTTCGTTAATATTATCTTTTCCCATCTTTAATTCGCGTTTCGTTTAAAAGTCGAAACTTTAGCCATCGATACAATTCTATCTCATCCTCGAAAAGTTTAAAGAAAATATTTCTTTCACGTGGTTTTAGCGTTATCGTGTAATTGGGAAAATACTTTTTTTTTGGTCCTATATAAGGGGGTTCAAAGTAATTCAGTCATTTTAGACTTTATCCAAATACACTTAAAACTAATTTTGTGATATCTACTTACGAATTTTTTTATAAATTTGTCTAACACCACGAAAAAAGTATGGAAACTTATGTTCGAATACGTCTAGCGATTGCTCCATGCAATCTAACACCCCAACAACGGGGTACCATTCGACAATATTGGCTTTAGCCCGTTGCAATGCCCATTTATTATTTATCTCTCTATAATTAATAGGTATTATAGAGAGATATGATAACGAAAAAATAACATCCAGAAATTTTATCTACCAAGTACTCACGTGCAACGAGGATCCTGTCCGCAGAACGTGGGTATTGCTCTACTTTCAAATACTACTTCCTGCCTTTTGCGGTATCTACAAAGAGAAAAAGAGAAAAATATCAATTAAAATCGTTTTATTAATCACGTGGTGTTAAAACGATACTTTTACAGTAAAATGTCAAGAAGATCCTGCGAGGAAAATGTCACGTCCGTTTACCTTTGTAAAGTTCGAGCACCTATAGGATTTCTCACCAAAGAAATAAACGTTGGTGCTTGTCGACCAAATTTTGAAAAGTTCAAAAACCTTACATCCCCATCGAAACTGAGAGGAATCGCTTCCTGTCTTACGATATTTGTAACTTCTTCCACTAGTAATTCCTATAAAATACAATTCCTATAGAATTTCAACCTGGATGGAATTTCAAACGCACACACCTGTCCGAATTGAGATTACTCTTATAAATCGCTCGACAATCTCTACTCTATGCAACGTGTAAAATAGCGACCAGGCAAAATAGCGCATAATACCTTAACACGCGATATGAAACGTCAAGATGATTGATTATATCATACTCCAAATACACTGAATTTTTTAATATTTATTGACTTTCGCGTGGTTCCCGTGCTTTCGTTCTTGCGGTTACCTAGGCATGCTCCAAATAGGAATTCTCTGACCGGGGCTGCTTTAATTGGAAAGACGAAAGTGGCACAACTTCGATTGCAACAGCGAAAACCGACTCTGACGTGAACGTAAAGTGCAACGACCACGGTGTGATTAAATTTTCCGCAGATTTATTCGATCAATGAATCAGGTGCTGATTCATGCTCCAAGCGTTATTGTTCAGCGTTCAATCAATGCTACGGTAAAACGGTGCCGTGACTATTTCATGCCATTTCAGAAGCATTAGAACCGGAGGCAATAATTCAAAGAATTTTGCGATAATCTGAATTTTACAGCTCATAAATTCTTTGTTACGGAATTTCATGACCTGGAATTTACCTGTTGTAAAGTTGACAAAAGTTTGTGATCACCTGGTGGCAATCGTATGTGCTTAAAAGCATTGTAACCCTGTAAACGTTGCAAAATCAACACCAACAATTCGGTTCCAGCATCTGGCACCCGTGTTAACATTAAAGTATGCTTGTTCGTTCTCGGCAAATTTCCATGAGCACCCAATTCCGCAAGAGAGGGTGTGACATATCGATACGTCTGCGTAATAAATTATGTCAATGAAGATGATCTTATCATCAAGTTTTAGATATCGTTTCTAATGTAATTCGAGTAGAAATGAAACGAGACTAAATGAAATTTCTTGATAATTTTATATTACGTGAAACTTCCGGTGAACTCGTTTATAAAACGTAAAAGGCAAAGACCACTTTCCAACTATTACATCTTTCGTTGGCGCACTTTCACTCCAATAAGCATACTTTGAACTCGACCAGTTCGTTGTTTGAAAAAATTTCGTTTAGTGCGTTATGTTAAAGATTGTAAAATTGTTGAAAATACTTAAATATATAGTATGCATTTGAAGCGTATATATTCCCAAATACAATTTTAAAATAAAAGTTGGATACAGTTCACCTGGCGTTTATAGATCTCCTGTTTTCCCGCGAAACGCTTTTCTACGTCACTTTCAGAATTGTCAACGATTTCCACCGCAGATTTTGAATTCAAAAGGATGAAAAGAATGGTCAGGCAGGCAGCGACACTTGTCAGCAAGCCGCGATTCAAACGCATCTCAGTGCGAAATTCGACAAGTCGTGATCCTGCGGACGTAGGGTTACCTTCTCCTTTCAAAAAGTATCTGACCAGTGATCCTGATTACCGGCATCGAAACTCTCAGTCACAGATTACCGACGTTTGTGTCTACCAAGTAACTGAAGAGAATGTCAGTGGGTCAGAGACTTCCTACCGCTTGATCTGATCAACCCCCCACATCTTCACCTGAACTCCCACCAACTATGGATCTCGTGAAAAACGAAACTTGACTTTTCCATCCACCATTCGCTGACTTTTAATCAAGAGGCAGTTTCGACACATACATCCGATAAATTTAATCAGCTTAGGTCGCTAACAGGCTTAAACGCATGTTGGTTTAGAAATACTAAGCGTGTATTGAGTTATACATTTGTGCTCTATTAGCTAACTGATGCTGCAATTTTCCTGGTACATCTATCGACATGAAATAGCATCTGCTGTTCATCAGCCACAAATGCCTGCAGTGAAAGGAAGCTTGATTCTTCATTCGCAAATGATGATTCAGTGTTTCTATCGACCTTCGTAACTCCGCTGATGTTGGTTCGATACCGATACCATTGAACTCGCTTAAATGGCAAGAAGGAATGTTGGGAGAGTTGGTACTAAGCTTGACAGTTTAATGTTAACACTAGACTTGATGTAGCTTTGTTTTTTTAAGAAAAGGAAAGGTCGGAAAGGCTTGGAATCAAACAATTTTAAGGGTGTTACACTTACAAGGGGAACTACGGTTCAAATCCTTGGTTCCCAACATTTTTTTTTTTTGTTTTTAATGATAATTTGTCTCTTTCTGAATAACTATTACATAAAAATTATCATAAAAAAAAAAAAATTTTTTTGGGAACCACGGATTTGAACCGAGGACCTTCAGATTGCGAGTCATGGATCCGCTCCGTGGTTAACATATGACTCGCAATCAATAGGTCCTCGGTTCAAATCCTTGGTTCCCAACAATTTTTTTTTTTTTTTTTATGATAATTTTTATGTAATAATTATTCAAAAAGAGACAAATTATCATTAAAAAAAAAAAAAATGTTGGGAACCAAGGATTTGAACCGAGGATCTCTAGATTGCGAGTTGTATGTGTGAGTTTGTCATACTTCAGAATGTAAGGAGTAACTAACTGTAATTGTTAATATCTTTTAAACAATTAGCTGTCTGCCCCCAAAAGGGGCTATAGGCGTGTTCAGCTCGACGAGCTCTACAGGCTGGCAAAGTTTCATTAATAAGTGAGTGTAACACTTAGGTAGTTCTCCGTATTAGAATTCCAAGAAAATGAAATGAGTTACTAGGAAAAAATGGCGCGCTTCTAGAAGTTCCATATTTGACCGCTATTCAACCGGCCGGCGTAGTGGCGCAATCATCCACGTGGTAGAGGCGCTTCGCGATCATTCTACCAACCAAGTTTATTTGTAAACACGCGGCATCATTCCATAAGATGGACGCGTACGAGGCACGTAAAAAAGATTGGGAAGATTTAGAGGTAACCAAGGAGGAGTTGAAGAATTTAACCGAGTGTCTGAAGAAGGAGGAATTCCGCAAATTGTTGATCGAATACGCAGAGGAGGTGACTGATCCGGAGAATAGGAAGATTTACGAGAAGGAGATCACGCAGTTGGAGAAAGAACGGGGCGTCGACGTTACGTTCGTTAACCCAGAACCTGGTTACGTCATTAAAACAAGCGTAAATGGAGAGAAGAAATGTTTCCTGAATATCAGTAAAAGCGACATTGTGGCTCGACCAACCAGCCAACCTTCTTTCGAACAAGGTCATCGAGGTTTGCAATGGTCTATTCCGTATACGTTGATACCACCGCGTGACGACCTTGATAAAAAAAATGTACGGTGTATGGTGTTTGACGTGGTCTTTCATCCGGACACCCTCTACCTTTCCTCAAAGAATACACAGTTTCGTGAAATTGTTAATAACACAGCCATGGATGGTGTGGAAAATAACTTCAAGGTAAGCCTCGTACGTCCAACGTATTCGTAACGTATTTGCAACGCATCATAATTTTTTTTTGTTTAACTTTGTGATCCTTCTTTTTTATATTTCATGTTAGGTTAAATTGGACAGAAAGAATGTCAAGTTTCCAAAGTTGAGTTACAAGGGAGTTTGCCACCCTACAGTGATCAGAAAACCATCCAAGGAACCTCCTAAGGAACACATAGATATAGAACCAGAAATCTATCAAAAGTTGATGTCCAGCTATGATCAGAGCAGAGAACAGCAACTGAAATGGGCAGAGGAAAAGCCACAGAGACCTTTGCCATCTACTACATACTACAAAGAAAGACTGGAGGAGAATGAAGACCCAAATAGCAAATATGTTACACCAAAATTTTCAATTAAACATCAGTCTGATGTAGAGTTGGAAGATTTTAGTTCTAATAGAAATGCAAATATGAATGCTACAATACCTAAACGATTGATCATTACTATAGACCTACCCCTACTAAAAACTGCCACTGATGCTTCCTTAGATGTTCAAGAACGTTTTCTTAATGTAAAAAGTGAAAAGCCTGCAAAATATTTGCTGGAACTTCCTTTGCCTTATTGTGTGGATGCAGACCATGGCAATGCCAAGTTTGATCCAAAATATAAAAAATTAGTTGTGACTCTTCCAGTTATCCGCTCTGTGGTACCAGTGTCTGATACCAGAGAAGACAGCGGAGTGGACAGTGACCATAGCAGTCCTGTACCAATGCTCTCCAAAGATACCATAGGAGAGTCATTTGATCACAGTCACAAGAGTAACTCTATGTCAAAGTTAGTTGAACAGTGTGAAACAGTGCTTGAAACTACAAAACTAGAGGATAAAAGTGAAAACTCTGAAAATCTGAGTGACACAGCATTACGGACTAGTATAGAGAATACAGATACGTTTACTGATCCTAGCATTAAGTATTCTCTACCGACATTTATTTCTAATTTATACGAAAATCAATTAGCAATTACCATAAATGTAAAAAACGTCGATCCAAATTCTATTCGCCATAAGATTTTACAAAACAATTCCGGAGTGCATGTCTTATTAACATCAATAGGAGCAGGCTTTTATCCACAGCATTATTCGTTATGTTTAAAAATAAACGAGGACTCGGTGGATCCCGATTCTTTTACGGTTGATCCGTGGGATAATAACGTTGTATTTTCCATTAAATTAACAAACACCGAAAATTTAGCACGATACTACGTCGGTGTGACCGAAGAATTCATGGAAGAGAAAGATTTACCCACTGCTCTGTCATTCCAGAACCGATTGAAAGAATTGACGGTAAGTATCTTCGATGAGGATAACACAGAAGCAAAGATTATTTCATATTCATCTATCTTTTCCACAGGCAGAAGAAGATTTTCAAATAGATCGAACAATTGATGTTCAGGCTGAGGACGACGGTGTCGTTATAAATATCATTCCAAATCAATTGGATTCCGACGATGAAGTCGATCAACAGAGCATACAATCTCGAGAAAATCAATGTGATGTATCAGAAGCCAGATCTGTTTCAGAAAATAGCGGAGATGAATTGTCAAATAGCATCGGTACAAGTACATTTTCAAAGGGTATATTGAAATCCCGGCGTGCTAATGTTTTTTCGCGTTCAGTATCCGAATCGAGTGCCGACGAAAATGGAATGCCCCCATCGTCCATCGACTGCCATTACGGTTCGGCGCAAGATATGAATTCTGAGTCGGAATGTTCTAGTTTAAAGAAAACAGTACGATTCAACGATGTGATCTCGCGACAGCTGTTCAGGTATTGTTGCATTTACAACGATAACCGTCCCATGGATCATGTTTTACCCAGAGTTACTTACTCTACCTCACTTTTAGATCTAACTCCAGCATTCTTGGTCGACGTAAGAAGAACCAACGTAAATTGCGAAACAAAAAACGCGCTCACGAACGTAGATTGAGCGAAAGCGAAAACTCTGAGACAGAGGAACGTGAGAAATATAAGATAAATCATAAGAACACCGAGTCCTCCGATACTGTCAAACCTATACTTAACAAAGATAAACAATCGACGAAACAGAAAACTGCCAATATCGAGATAAAGCAAGGGGCTAATGATAATAATCGTTCCTTGCTGAAAAGGACGTCGAGCGTCGAGGAAGAAATTGAAAATGAAATTCATTCGGATAAACAGATTGAATCTAAAGAGGCAGTTAAGGCAGAATTTAAGAACGATTTGATATTCGATCTCGATATGTAGATTTACCAACGAACTGAAATGCGTATGTGATATATATTTTGAAATAGGTATTACTACGGAACAACTCGTAAAGATGGTTACTAAAAAGCCACAGGGTTTACTTTCAATTATGTGATAATATTCTTTTTTTTCTTTTTTTCAATAATTAAACATAAGTGGTTACAAGATGAAATCTCAGTCACGAACCGTGAATCAATGAAATTGTACATTCTTATTATTTTAAATGGCTCGTAGACGTGAGTAAATATAGGTTTAGAGAACGTTAAAAGTTTATAGCACGATAGCTCAGAAACGTCAATCTTATTCTATTATATTTTACCTGATTTATTTATAAAGATTGCATATAAGCAGTCGATCGAGTGCAGAGATGGATGGGAATCTCTTTAATATATCTCATACGATGTATTGTGTATTTGAAAAAATTTCTTATAGAAAATCAGATGGAGGCGATTTATGAAAATTATTCGTGAAGAAACTTTGCATAAAAGATACAACAACACACGCTCTATTTTATAGAATGAAATTCTTAAAAAATCAATTTTTACACACATTTTATAGAGATTATCGTACGATCATTTACCTAGATTGCACTTAACGAACACATTCTTCTAATAATCGCAATCATATAGTCCGAATCATGATTAGAAAGTGTTGTTTCATCACGGAGCAAATTGCGCACTCTTGCTTTTGTAGCGAGGTGTTTGCCATATCAATGTACAGGCAAAACGATACTAGCGTATTCCATGCAACAGAAAAAGGGGGAATAAAATGTAATAAAACGATCGATGGTCAATCATTTGTAGCTACGAATTCTCTTCCCAAAGAGTAGATATAACTACACTATTCCTAGTGTGAAGATTTTAATTAAACCTTCGTTCGTCCATTAATTCTGTAACTGGTTACTTGGTTGTTCTCCATTGTCTATAAGGTTGAAACTTTTCGAACAGAGCATCACGTTTAAGAAGCATCGACAGTTCGCTTATCGTATGCGGGTAGTGATCGTAAGGTGTGAAGCAAAGTGTAGCTGCTTCGTAGTACTAAAACGTGATAGAAAAGTGGGACAAGCGAACACGGCAGAGGTACGAGCTGTGGATGAGAGGTTGCCCGGAGTTGGAGCCCATCGATCTCGCTACCTGCGGGGGTGTAAGGTCGTTACACTCGCGTCTACCTATGTACGAGCTGCATTGCATAGTTCCTCGTATTATTCCTATTGATGCCCCGCCGCCACAGCAGCGAGACAGCGACGACCCTCACCAATGCAACGTTCTAATTTCGCGACACAACCTAACCCCCTGCAATCACTACCACAGTTATGCTTCGCGACGACGTCGACGACGGGGTCGCGGCCTGATTCGCAAACACTCGAAAAGTCGACCTAGAAGGACAAGGGTCTCTCGTCAAAGACTGCGAAGGTACTTCCTCCCCTCCTCTTTCTCACTCTTGGGAATGGAGACTAAAGAGTAGAATGCACAGTCTGTATCTTTGGACCTTTACTTTCTAATCTTTCTTTCTTTCTTTCCTTTTGCATCGATTTGTTTGATCCACAGAGAAATATTCCGTGCGATCTAAACCGGATTCTAGTTTCGAAATAAAGGAGGGAAGTTTTATGAAAGCGACGTGGCGCGGTCTTGGTATCAGTCAGATTAAGTTGATTTTAGGATCAATGGTGCCTACGTGGTAAACAGAATATTCGCGTAATAGATTTCGCGATTCGAGTACCGATGAGATAAAGGTGGTAGGCCTGATACTAGCACCAGGTCGATAAGTCGTCCACCCCTTGAGAGAGAGTCAGAGGCCGACGTGGGTGCACGAGGGTACACGTACCCCACGTACCGTGGTTACGGCAGGCACGACATCGGCAATGCGGCAGCCGTTTATGTCGTTATATCGTCAAGCCATCGCACCTGGTACCATTCAAGAACACAGATCGGTACAACTGGTATCTAATGCCAGATTTACAGATGTCATACGTCACCAGGCTATTTACGACGAGCAGCGATTTCATTCGCCTCTCGTTCATCGACAGAGATATTATCAATACCTCCAATGCAACTGGCGAACCAAACTCGGTACATTAAATCAAGCCGACATTTTTAAAATTATTAAAAACTCTTAACATTTCAGTTATCTCGGTAATAGGAAATGCTTGTTTGCAAGGATCGTACTGTTTGCACAAAGATGCAATAAGTTCTTGGGTCTTTGAAGAGCTTCAATCTCAAAGTAATTTCTCTGCGACCCAGAAGTGCAGCCGAAAGGCTGATGGGTTGCATTTGTGGTGAAACTAAAATAAGTACTTCAAAATACGAAACAACGTAAAATTGGAACGTTTGCGTATTCGTAACAGCAACGGGGAACGACGATAAATTTTATCGCCGGGGAGTATCGTAACGAGAAAATTGCGATAAAGTTACTTTAATAAACCAACGACGGTATGAAGGTTTCACAAAGTTGTAAAAACATTCTATCGTTTTCTCCCTTATGTCGACATGAATACAGTTTATAATTATTTAAATAATACATTTCGTTTTACCCCGTGGACGACGGGAAGAAGTGGAGGGTTGAAACCGTATATTTTAAAACGAGTATATGAAGCCCTTGTTAAGAAATTTTAACGAAGAGCTCGTTAGAAACATTTCTACCACAGCCTGTTGCTGTTACAATCCTTCAGAAACATAAGTCTAGGGGTATACTCCATTTTAAATTAAGAGATTTAAGCACCGTTTTGAAATGAATATTAAACAAATTATACAACTCGTAAAAAACAAGCTTACTACAATCTATAATAATTCCGTGGAAATGTTTGCATTAACCATTTTTCAAGAATACCTATTTAAGTTAGAAATATAGATTACAAGACGAAAAATATGGGGAGAGGATTTTTTTTCCAGAAAAGTAGAAAGATGGATTAAAATAAGAAGCAAGATACGAAAGAATGGATTCGTTAATTTTGCCATCGTTCATACGAATGACTCCTTATTATTCTGATATCCCATAGGGAAGAGAAGAGTGCTCGACAAAACAGAAGGGAAGAGGATGGTAGGTACCCTGAGAACCTTCCTCCCTCTTTTTTATCTCAATCCGTCTCCTTTTCTTCATCCCTCCCCTACAGAGTCAGGTACTCGAAGTAGTGGAGTATCGATTATATGGACCCTGCTTCGTGACCACGCGCCGTCTGTACGGCGTGTTGCCCGGATAACCTACTGACACTGACAATTTTCGTGCAACACAGGCAATTTTTAATATCGATTATTTTATTTTGCTTTTCCTCAACCTCGAAACGTATTGCTCCTTACTGCGTATCCCTAGACGTTCTCTTTTACCTATATTCCTTCCGACATTCAGGCGCTTCTGAATGATTTCTATTAAAATTTGAAATTGTTTCTCGATATAAAAGCTCTCGTAAATCTGCGTTATTCGATTTCACATTCGCATTGATCGTGCCATAAAACGGGAAAATAAATATACTTCACGATTTGCCGGAGGACTCGATGGTCTCGCGTGATTTACAGGACCCTTTTCACGAATCAACCCTCACCTGTTTGTATTTCAGAAAGCGTATCGAGCACGATCAGACGGGAGATACGGGCACACATTACGCCGTGGGTCTAAGTCGTTCGAAAAGCTTGGAAAGAAGTTAAAGGGAATTTTGACGAAGAAAGTCGATCGCTACGGTCGATCGATGCGCGTCGTTCCAGTCTTTTCTGGAAAATGAAAAGACCAGTAACAAAAGCTTCTGATGTTTCCCGTGTAAGTGCGATCTGCTCCGCCGAGCACATTGACGCGGCTGCTTGATTCGCGCTTGAAAAATAGGCCGACATGTCGGATTTGCCTTTCTTTTTTACCTTTACGCCGCGTTTTAAGAAACTCGAGTCGTTGCTTTAAAGAAACAGGCGGTACTAGGAAACAACGTTCGAGATTCGAAGTTTATCGACTGTAAAATTAAAAGAATGATAAAGTTGAAGCATTTTTTTTCCAAAATACAATCTTGATCGCGATGTAGCAGCAAACCACAGAGTAAGTTTACTTTTAGGATAACGCGTTAATACGTGATCCATTTCGAAGGCAGAGAGACACATCATCGTTCTTCGTTAATCCGAATACCCTGATTCCCCTGACGGCTGGCCGACCGCCGCCGATGTCGCGTACCAGTTCTACTAGTTCACGCGCTTCTGTTAAATGTGCCCTACACTAAACAATCAAACAGCCTACGAAAAGTTGTTTTTTTTTTCTAAACGATCTATATTAGGAACGCCTGCAGATTGCATGGCTCGTTCACGAGGGACTAACACGCGAATACAGTCATCGACCCCCTTTGGCACGGTCACATCACACAATACTACGAAACTGACCTGAGTTAACGTTCCATTCGTTATATATATTTATATACGTGTGGCCACGAATGTGTATTCAGTCGCGAAAAAATCGATGAAACGGTGCACGAAATCACCCCGATGGTAATTTTCTGCCCTTTATATCTGCAATCTCGTTTCATTTATTACGGTGCTCACCATTCCTGCAATATTCTGCGCAAACAAGCCGATTAACCGAAAGGAAGCAGAGATTCGAGTGGAATGCGTTTCACGATTATTTCTTTTTCAGAAATAAAATCTTTCGACCGTTAAAGTCGAAATTTTTCAGCAGACAGGGTCGTTGAAAAATTCTCGACGCTACGACAAGAAGCAAATTCCTCTACTCTTTCCACTGGCACGAATATTAAAGGAACAATAAATTCCTTTATAGAAACAATATCCGGTAGCACGCCTTCGCGTATCTATTCAACAGGCGCGAATATCGAATATCATCACTTTTATAGCGTTCAGAATGTTACCTCCATGACGTTCCATATAACCCCTTATTTGATTTCATCCCCGATTCTCAAATCTTCTCAAAGCGAAATGTATACGACTTTTTATCGTTGTCCTAAGTGAAAGAAAAAAACACTTTGAACAATTCGTGCTGTAATAAAAAAGAAATTTGATAGATGTAAAGAAAATGTTCCAAGTGGTTCTCTGGAAATTTCCTAACATCTATGAAAGGATATAAACTTAATATCCACGATATTCTTTTATGGATACTTCGTTTAGCTTGAAAATTTCATGTTACATCCTATCTTTCCTTGCTATCGTTAAAAGAAGCAACAACGAACTGCTACCTTCTCCGATGTACTACTACAATTTCTCTCCCATCTTATTTAAAACCGTGGAAAAATGAAATATAAACGAGCACTTCTTTGAACGAATCGATGCGAAATCGATCCTGACTCGAGGAAAACATCGTTCGACTGGTCGTAAGGGGTAGCCTCAAAGTGTCGTCGATTAAATCCCGTGTTCGATCGGAACATCGCAATCTAACGATCGCAGACAGACGACAGTCACGTCTTGGTACTCTTTGAAAATAATCGTGAAAGACGATGCAGCAAGATGTTTGATCCTCGCTCAAAGTCTTGACCCTGTTTTTCACCGCTCGCGGTACACACGCGTTTGGAAACGATCAGGGCGCGTGCGTATGCAGGTTACACGGTTTTGCGTTAGTGTGTACTTATCAGAATAGACGGATGTGTGTGCATGTACATAGAGAAAAGCGTAGGTGTATGAGTGTATACCTTCAACGGTTTACCACATGTTGCGCCTTGGTGCGCGGAGCGCAAGTCAGCCAGGAGCCCGGGCCATCAGGATAGACAGAATCTCTCCCCTCGGCTCGGTCAGTTACGCGAGTACCAGCAAACGTTCCGCGTGTCTCCCATTTCCTTCGCCGATGTCGCGATAAAACCTCGTAATCAATCGTAACGCGGCCAATTAAACGTTTTTTAACGTGTTCAGTGCGAAATTGTGAAGCATCCAAGTCGAAGGATAGGAAAATACGGTGCAGTGCTACCGAGAACAATATGCCTACGATGCTCTGCCAGTGAGCTGGAACTTTTTTTTTCTCGATAAGGTCTGTATTCGATGATTTACGATCATTTTTTACGCTTGGAAAAATTTATATACGCGTCGAGCAAGGGAAATGTTTGCTTTGCAAAAATGTTGCTGTGAAACGTTATCGCAATTTCAGGGCACAACTATACATCCTTTGTCGTGAAACCGTGGAACGCGAAACGTGGTTTTACCTGAATTTTTAACTGATCCTCTCAAAAACGAGACAGTGATATGTTTATTTTGGACATTATGATGACGGTAATGCAATAATGTCGTCACTAATTATAGAAATGAGCTAATTATACCTAACAAATAATTATTAAGGACAACAGTTATTGGATATATTAAGATCTATCTTTTTCAAGTAGTCTAATTGTTTCCATTAGACCTACTAAAAGGAGGATCAGTACATAATGAATTATACTCTATCACTCCATTTTCTGTTCACACCTGTTACATTACTAGAATCACTATACGACGATAGTGATCTGTCTTACACGGGGCACCAAGATATCAGCGCGTTGTAATTTTTATAATAAATTGAGACGAAAAAGTAATTTACAAAAGCTTCGCAGATAGCTAAAATTCTTTACTTTTTATTCGTTCTTTTCTTTTTTTTTTAAAGGAGGAAAAAGCAGATTAATTAAATTGCAGGTTAATCTTTCTACGAGTCCTTTCACAAAGAACCGCGAGCTAATTACGTTTGCCGAGACAAAAGTTACAATATACGTATAAAAGATGGATAATAATAAAAAGCAAAATTACGTATTCATACAGTTTTAATTACTCGTACGTAAATTTCCACATTTCTACTCATTAATTGATTGCTTATCGTTAACGTTTCACCTTGTTCCATTTTTTTATCTTTTTTTGATCGTATCGATGAAATACCTCTTTTTATTTCCAAAAATACCATATGCAAGATTGATTTTATAACAAAATTTTAATGGAATATGTCGAACGCGTTTTAGTTTGAAATGATATTTAATTGATATTTCGACATTAATAAATCATTATGATTATACAATAATATTGCAATAATGCAAATGAACTATTCTACTGGTAATTGCGTTACAATGATTATAATGACAATAATGTGCATCGAAAGGTAACTCGAATGAAAGTAAGGTATAACTTCAGTTGGATTAATTCCAGAAATCACAAATACCATTGAACAACGTGAGTAACTATAGAACTGTCCAATATTGAAAAGCTATGAATATCCCCGTCTTCCAGGCTTCTCGACGAGTCTCCTGTTTCTGCAAATGCATTTCTCTACGGCTTAACATAAAAGTACATTAAAAAAAAAAAAACGCATAAAATTTGGATGCAGGTCTCGATTTGCAGCACGGATCTTGCATATTTTATAAAGTTCAAAAAAGAACTGAAAATTAATATCATCGCGTTGCAAAAAATGGCAGAAAAATATATGTAAATGGTTGATTATAAAAAAGAGATTAAATGATATCTGATTCAAAGCGTAAAGTGCTTGAGAAACGTGTTAAATGAAAATTATCGTCTAAAAATAGTTCCGTCCGAGACTTTTTATAGGCTGCAGCCATCCATCATTGCAACTACCGTACTACACGCAATCCTTTATTTTCATTGGACCACTGACCTACCTATCGAAGACTTAGACGTTTTTCTCATGCACACATTTCCCTGCATAAAGCACGCTTCGTGCATTGTTCTTCCGAATAACAAACGACCTAAACTTTTATATCTGAACACGTACATTTACATCTGTAATTGACCCAAGAATACTGTATGCGTCTGACTAAAATAAAGTTGTACTCCTTTCTTCTTTCTTTTTTACAGATTTTAGCGCCTGACAGCGCGGCGGGGTGGCCCCAATGCCGGTCAGGAAGGGCCTCCTCGCCCCACAAAATACTTTCTTAGATACTATCGCCACACGTTTCGATGGAACCCGTAAGTATTGTAGCTCTATTTAACCTACCTCTTATTCATTCTCTACTATCAATACGTTCGTTTAAAGGGAGCAATTTATATCTACGTTTAACCACCTGCGTCTGGGAATTCAGAAATATTCTAATCACGACTAAGAGTTTTCCTCTCGAGTAAATCGTATGACGCTCAAATAAAGCAAAATAACAGCGATAAAATTCCGATCACGTCAGAGAAACGACGGTGGAGGTATTCGCGTAAACTTTCTCGGGGTTGTAAAAGATCGAAGTGTAGTGTCACTGCCATTGGATTAGCTCCAATCCCGACGTTTCGAAGGCGACCCTCGTTTGTGAGTCGTCCGACGAAACGATTTGTCAATACAAAAAAGTCTTGATCGGTTCCAATGGTTTACGACGAAAAACAGCATCCCTAATAAAAAATCCAGAGCTATCCTCCCCAGTTCACCCACAACGACATGATTTTTCATCCAATCCCACAAATGTAAATGTATGTATAGTGAACGATGCAACAACCAGTTTTATTTGGTTCAATTGTATTTCAGAAATTCGATGGCTATTTGGCGCCGTTGCTCCACTCGACGACATATTGTCTAATATAATTCGAGGTGTGGACACGTGTTGCTATTTACTAATCACTCGATCAAGCTGCAAATTAATATCGAAACGTCTCTCAATAGTTGCCGCACACGTTGACGTCGCCGTCACTAATTCGTATACCATTATTATGGGCCACAACGTTAACAACGCGTGAAACCAAATTGTCTGACTGAGAAGCGACGGTACCCCGGGTGTATTTACCTCTAAACAATTATATCCCACCAGCTTAATGGTGCATACTTTGTGAAAAAGAGTGAAAAGAACGATGAAATCGAGATCACCTCGACCAACACCAACTATCCTCGCCATCCTTCCTTTGGGACACCAACTTAGTTACCTTCAACCTTTCCTCCCTTTATGGCGAAAACGTAGTTTTGGGTCTAGAGAAAAAGTAATCTGAACCGAAATTATCGATAACACAGTGACGCGTTGTATCCCCTTTCTTGATTTTCGATAAAGTAACAGTTGGCACGCGGCCTGCTGATGAAAAACGATAAACCACAGAAGTTACATACGTTTCACAACATTACAAACATCGTTTGTAAATCTGTACAAACATTTAGCGAATAGAGATTACCCCTGTAATATTAAATTCAACGCCCGTTCTAGTGTTTGAATAACCTTTTCGAACAAGCTTTACGTTCCAGATCGTTCAGAGGGATCCGTTTTAGGTGAGATTCCAGCAATAAATACAAAGTTAAAGTAATCCACTGATACACCCGTTGTGAACTTTGAGCTTACAAACCAAGAAAAACTAATTACGAGAAAGGGACTACGAACCGTCGTTATCGCCGTCGTAAGAGAATTACAGGAAAGTTACGTCCTTGGAAAGTAATGAAATTGTATCTTTTTTTTCCCCCTCGTTCGAGATGCCGACAAAATTATATTCATAGCCACCCAACTAATCTCCGACGGTACATTTTAATTTAATTCGGAGATTAAAATCGGAAGTATTTACTTTTAACTGGCTAATTTATTTCGTATATTTACATAAGCTACTTTTGCAGTGTCAAAACGCATCGCGTATTAAAAACATGCCCTTCTTTCGTGTATAGGTACATACATAGAGGTATCGTGTGGATTGCATAACACCGTATTAGCATTTACGCAAGAATTAATTTCATAGTACCACCTGGTCTGTGGTGTTAAGACGATCAAAGCTCCTTAACTTCAACACGGACGTCGCAGTCGGACAAACACGGACATTCCATGGATAAAAAGGAAAAACGAAATGCCAAAATTTAATTTCACGTTTGGATTAGCTCAAATAACTTGAAATAGTGATCGCGGAACGAGTACTTGCGAGACGATCGCGTCGTTGTAGCACGATGTCTGGTCGTTTCAAGGGGATACGACGACCCTAGAATTATGCTATTACGTTCAATCTTGGTGTTCCATCAAATACTCCAGTTTCCCTACAAACTCGATCGCTCTCGAGGCAATACAAATATCGTTTACCTCCTTTTGCGTGAAAACAAGCTGGAAAAAGAACCATCGACGTCGATGCGCGAGTGTTACATTGACGCGATAACGATATCTCGTGTAGTTTCACGCCAGGGAGGAAAAGAAATCACGTAATTAGGTGAATGCATAATTGGTGGTTACGCGATTCAGTTTTTCAACCACGGTATCGATTCGATTGGCTTCGTTACGCGAAACATCGGTGAAAAGAGTGAACGCGTATACTTGGAAGTTCGTGACCTTTCCATTGTGAACACTGTGATTTCGGCGAGAGAAAAAAGGGAAATAATTGCTCGTTAACGACGCCCGAAGTACTTATCCGTGGATATTTTTGGCGCTCTCTTTCTTTCTTCGAGCGTGTTTGGCACATCGCCAACTGGGGTAAAGGATGGTTGACGACTGTTCAAACACTCGTTTGTCTTTGCTGACCAAGACTCATGGAGGACCAATTGGAATATTCGTTTTAACCGAGTCTCCCATGCGCCTATCTGTGATTTTTTCTTATTCTTCTGTTCTCATCGAATCAGAGCTTGATGAAAAGCATAGCGAACAGAATGCGAACCACGATGGGGAAGGAGGAGCACCCCGGTCGATCAACGAAACTAATTTTTCAACAGAACAAAAACCTGCCTGTTAACGTACATAAAACTTCGACGCAACTTCGAATAATGCAAACTTCCTCGCGACATCGGGTTTCAATACCTAACCTGAATAGGGTTGGCGGACTTACAGCCCCCCTTGTTCGTGACCTATGAATTCCAAGTAATACGTCCACGCTAGTTTTACCATCGAGGCCGACAACCCCAGACGAATCATGGAATATTAATATGAAATCGGCGCCATGAAAATCGATCTTATTCCAATCGTTATACGTACTTACATCTGATCTGATAGTAACATCTATTCAAAGATAGAAAATTACTTAAATTTTGTAAACTATCTTTCCAATTATCCTTCTTGTTTTTCATGCTAGTGTTTTATTTCATTCACGATGATCTAGTACCACGAATACGCCTCGAACGGCAACTCCAATGAAACGTAAACGGCTCTTGTTTCCTGACCTTAATTCAAGATCATTAATTTCTTCTTAATGAACGATCACGGTTTACGCTTCCCAGAATGTCTTTCCAACGTGCATCTGTATGCATTAGTAGCACGTTACGTTTCGTTTCGTTGTAAAATAGGAATTGTGCACATTTCTAGAAAATGGCGATGGATGAAGATAAATATCGCACGGTATATATTATCTAAATTAAAACTACAGCGAAATCATGTACCCGCATTTACTATGTTTCCCATAGAATTTTATTATACGGTATAACAGACTATCGGGAAGATTAATTTTCCTTCGGTGCGCCTATTAAACTTGGTAATCTGAGGTTTATGGTATATTACTCTTATTGGAAACGTCGAAGGAACCGAATAATATAGCCACGTCGCACTTGTACTTCATTCTCGAAATAGAGGCATAGAATTTCATTTGACTCCGTTTCTAATAAATGCGAACAAAATTCACGACTTCTTGCTCTCGTTGAAAAAAATATTTCACCAAGAGCAGCCAAGAAACAGTGGACGTCGAGTGGTGAATAAAAGAACAAAAAAGGTCAAGAAATCTCTTTACACATGCCGAATGACCTAATTACTTTTTCCGGTTCTCTTAACATTAGTGTTGATTTCATTCTGCTAGAAGAGTCGATAATTATCGTGCTGAACGAAACGAGAAAACTAGAACAATTTCACGAAAGCGGCTAAGGGACTTGGAAAAGAAAAGAATGTTGTCATGATGAAATATCCGATTTATGCGAGGCTCCCTCTGGGGAGCAATAATATTGTGAAAAAGTAAAAAAGTTTGTTTTCCAAAAACCTTTTCGCTTTTTCTCCTTCGTATAGAATTGAAGAAATTTCGTCGGACAAATCGTGACGCAGGTGACATACTGTTAGAGTAGGAGCTATTTCTCCCAAGTAGTAATGATCAAGCAAATGTCAGCCGAGAAATCGGAAAGCACGATTGCTATCGCATTATTTCGCGATTAACGACGTTGCTTAATTTTACGTTACTGGACGAAAAATAAATGGAGAACATACATGTATACGTAAGAAAAGCAGACTAGGATTAGGATAAGTTAATAGGGAAGTACGATTCAATATCTGTGACGGTTTCAAAGTGAAAAGTTGAGTGCCAGTTCTCGAATCGCTATACCTGTCACGACGTTTCAACGTATATTTATCGACGATACAACCTCGATGCACTCGCAACGAATTCAAAGCTGCATATCACTGTGTGACCTCAAAACTTCTACTAATAGTTACCGACACCACAAATAAATGTCACAGTGACGAGCGTTTGCAACAGGCTTTTGTGTCGTTTCCAGTGTTTGTTGTAACAGAGAAAACTCTACACGAGTTACACACTGTACACGAATATTTGCACTGTTTACTTGATTAACCCTTTTGTTGAAACATCTGCGGTACGATTGTTACAAATCTATCGCTAAAGTCTGACGAACGATAGTATTGTGTAATACATTTACGTTCCAACGTGACTAACTTGACATTTTGATCAGAATCCGTATGTATGCACCTCTTGAAATTAATAGTTACTTTTAGATGACATATATCATACATCGTTCGCAGCAAAAGGATTGATACGTCGCTTCTGAGTGCAAAACGCGCATAAGAGAATATAGATGTATATAAAATGTATACAAGTGTCTGTGCAATTCCCTCGCGTACTGAAAATTAATTACAGTGCAACATCGTGCCATGTTAAATTTCATAATCCTCACGAGTGAATAAATGTTCAACTTGTCTAGAAGCTATGCTCGAAGTTAGGATTGATACGCAACGTTGAGTGAATTTGTGGCAGAAGCACACGAATCCCCACATGAATCAATTTGTGAAATCAAAACAAGCCAGAATCTCATGGAAATGCGCCCGCAATCGGGATATATCCTGGAATAGATTACAACAGCGACACGCGATCAAACGCTAGGATAGTCTCTTTAGTTTTCTGTTACGCTAATTGCACGATATCCTTGCCAGCTTGGAAATTGATATCGATTGCAAGTTGCAACAGAGTAGAGAGAAGAGTAAAAAAAATTCCTTCTAACTGGTTAAACCGTTCGACCTATCTAATAGCGAAAAACGAGGAAAGTTTGATGGTGAGAAAGCACGACCCGTGGTAATTGTGTGGAACATTGAGTTTCATCGTGTTCATTAACCTGGTTTAAACTGAAATTATCCCAGCTGCTTGAAAATGTCCATTCCCTCGGGAATATCACCAGCCTCTTTCCAAACGTACAATCCAAATTTCGGCTTAAAAGTAGAAACAAGTTTTGGAAATGTACGCTAGGAAACCTTAGGTAAAACGCGTTCGATTTATCGAGGATTCAGGTGTTGAACGACACACGGGCAACTAATAATTACTCGATATCGATGACGCTTATCTTATCAATGTAATCAATATTGTGACGAAAAGTAATGACGCAAGTTTATTCATAGGAAAAGTACATACGTTTATCGATTAAAGACTGTTCCTTTGTTCTTTCCTGCACATTGAAAACATATGTTACGTGTTACTGTTTGCAACAGGAACAAATTGTTTACGATTCGGCGTAATAGCTGGTACATTGCATAAGAAACTAAACTACTCACAGACAATTACAGAATGAAGGAACAGTCGTTTCGATAATCGTTTCATTTCCTCCGATGAAACGCATTCATCGTTCATCGAATGAAAATCTGTTCGCGAAGATTTCAAATCGATGAGCGTCGAGTGAATTTTTTTGAAAAGCCAAATGAGTCAATACCGTGGAGGGAAGTCTTCACGGTATGGGTTCCCTTAGACAGCGGACCTGATACTAGCAGGCTTAATCTCTTCATATTCCGGTCTAAGGAAGGCATTATACAGCAAAAGGAGACGTAACTCGTTGAGGGGGTGAAAGAAAGGATACCATACAGCGACGCGAACGAACGGAAACCTTCTTTTATCTCAAGCTACCTTATCAAAGAAGATCTCAAGCTTTCTAGTCTCGTTTTAAATCTATGCTTGCACGCCAACAAAATAACTATACTTCTCTCGACTAGAAACGAAATTGATCTATACATTTTTTACGCGATGATTTATACAATTCGACCACTACTTTTGTAGTAAGTACGTAATAAAAGCTATTGGAAAATATATTGGTAACCGACTTTTTTCTTTGCTCCATTCTGTCAGCAGTAGCTTTGCGAGATATTGAACTTTTCTGTCTTCGTAGAACGGAGAACAGCCGTCGGTTAGTTCGCGAGACTTTCGTAAAATGAACCAGTTTAAAGGACGGAACGAGAATCTGACCGTTCCATTTACTTGACAATTCCACGTATTCGAAATTTTGTAGAAATCTGATTAGGGAAAACGACCCAGCCCGATCCCAGTGGAAATTGCTAAGTTATCATCGCCACCGACCTCAATCATGGGCAATAAGGTCTCACTCTCTCTCTCTCTCTCTGTCTCTGTCAGGAGTGAAACTTTTCCGCAGAAAATTGTCATTACAAACGGATCGATGGAAAGCACGAAAGGTCCTAGCGCTGCATTAAAAAATTGCTTACGGTCGAATAACCGGGATAGAAATTTAGCCTCCGGAGAGAAGCAGAAAGGGGGAAACGAAGAAAGGGGATGCAAAGTTTATCGCTAAGTGCTAGAAACGGGATAAAAGTTTCTGTGCAGAACAGACAAGAATATTTTCGGTTACAGTGTGTAAAGAGACACGATGGCTCGCCTTGCAATGGAGGTCAACCTTTCAAGAATATTACATTCATGACAATAGAAGGTACTGACAAAGATCTGGATAAAATTTCTAAATAATACCGCATCGCAAATGAAAAGGGGTAAAGCTCATTTCCTCCGTTCGATCTTCGGTGAGAATTAATTGAACATGCCCGACACGAATCTAGTTCTCTTCGATCATACAAAAACGTTCTGACATACGGTTTGCTCGAGGGGGAACTCGTGACCGTATCGAAAATCGGTTGATACAATTTACCGCTTTGGATTTTCTCTCCTTTGCCCGATCCGCACGGTAATTTCAAGTTCGATTAAGCCACTTTCCTTTATTTTCTACGATTAATGCCTTATCAGGGCTGTATCGAATTTATCCGTTAAGAGTCCCTGCTGCCCTATCCTCGACGAGGAAACTTACTTCGAATGAAAATTTTCACGTAAATTCTAATCCGTGTAACGAAAGATTAGGAACGATACGCGAGAAAAAGTGTAGAGTACCAATCCTTCCTTTATTTACGAAGACTTTAATAAAGTCCCTGATACGTGATGAAAACGCAAGGTCGACGTGTATGGTTAATACCATCTTTTAATCCTTACAACCACGGTATCGCCATCGTAAACATACAATGCATGCTTTTCATTACCACACGGATGCACCACTTTCGACACGTTTGCAAATTTCGAACAAAATATCTATCACGTTTACTTAATCTCTTTGTCCATGGTTTCAGCGACGAGAATAAAATCCAGTTTCACTTGATTTTGAACGAAGAGAAAATGAACGTCGAGGCTTGATTATTAGTTACAGGTTTACGTGTATACGTATAGTGAATATAACTAACCAACGTATCTAGCGGGACATCAATTCAGCCACATTAACCACAATAGCTGTGGCAACACGCGGTTATATCCACTTAATTATTTCGGGGTTATCGGGAAATATGGCTAGCAACTTATGAAGTAGTTATCGCTTTTCAATTAACGGCCGGAAAACATGAAAATCTGCTTGGCCTTGACGAATGCAATTATAGTTCAGAAAATATTCACTAATTGCACACGATCGGATTACGGTTCGGTTTTATCGGATCGCTTTGATACGTGGACGGATCGCACAGCGTATTCGATCAGCCAAATTTACGCGTTTTAATTGATATTTAATTAATCCAGTCAACGAGAAAGAAAAAAACCGAACAAACGACAAATATTTGCTTTTATATGAAATAAAGAAACATGATTTTCGTACGTTTAACTGAAACGTGCAGTGCCGCTTTTCTTGTTTATTTTCCTTGTGCACATTTTCTCCCATGCATAGCTAGCAACATAAAATCTATATTTGTTTAAAACGCGCTTTTCATGATCTACGGTTATTTTTACCTTAGACGTTTTAATTATTTACCACGTTTCCGTTCGCTTATCGGGTTACACATTTTCCTAGGACAAATTTAGAAAATTGTAACGAAAAGCAATTTCTTGCTTCCAATTACTCGCATCAAACATAAAAATTCTCAAACGAACTTGAATTCCGTTTTTGTTTATAAGGAAAATTTTCTGACGCTGGCCTGCATTCGACACGTATGCGATACACAATCGGCTCCATTAGTCTTTGTCAAGAGTTGGCTGAAACTGTAACGTTTACGCTGCTTTTAGCGGCTGATGCGATGATCGTAAACGCTGTCGTTGTCGTGACCCCCCGGTTTACACGTATGCACCGAATTGGATATTTCAACGATGATTTCACATACTTATCGAAACCGTATAAATATACGGGACAGGAAACCCGTGAAAATGACGAAACGTAGCCTACAATTACGGAGAAACTATGAAGCTTGAACGCTTATTGTTCTTAAACCGCTTAAAAGTTGCAATTGTGCAGCTATTTCTGTTTTCCGGTAGTTATCTACACTTCTCATACCACTTCGTCTACGACTGAAATTAATCCTTCACCGTTTCGTGACCGCGTATTCGCAATAAATGCGTAATTGGCAATCTCTTCGCGCGAAAAGAGCAATTAACTACAATTCATCTTTGGACGTTAATGAAATGTTGCTTCGAAATGAAAAGCGTGCTGATTTAATGGCAATACTGACAATTAATCAATAAGGTAACGCGAAAATAAGCAACGAGTTAAACCGTCAAACAACGTACAAACTTCACCCTCAAACCATATTTTTATCTTATAACCCTTCGCCGTCAAACTCCCTGTGTATCAAACACGTGACAATCACTGTTTTCCGCAGAGCGTGAAGGGTGGTTTTAATCGTCGTCGGTCACCATGATCCCGTTCTACTAACTGTAGAAAAAGTTACAGGACTTTGTTTGGACCTGCTCATCCAGCGAAAGATAAACTTTCGCTGTACATTTATCTCGAACGAAAGTTCCACCCATTTTTTGTTTTTTTCACTTTCACCGAACTGTACGTAATTTCAGCTTTTGGTCAGGCAATTCGAAGACGTTTACAGAATGCAATATTTAGAAAAACGGAGTTGTTGCATTTGTTTACGAAAAGAGGAAGCACCGAGATAGTTAGAACCGCGCAAGACTGAGAAAAGATGAACGTGTTTCAGGGGTAGCCGTAAAATTAAAAATAGTACCGTCGTTACCCTGAGAATGATTACGCCTGACGTCAGAGACGTTGACAAAGCTATCAACCAATGAACTGTACCACATGGTGCAATCATGCATCAACTTCTTGCACTACGCATTTTTATCCCGCGTAATCATCAAATTCTTGTTTACCATGTCCCTTCATTGCACTTTTCTTTTAATATTGCTTCAGAAAAGAAAAAAAAAAAGAGAAAAATGGTCAAATCCACGTACATAATACCCCTTTGTAGTGAACAAAACCGAGTTGATCAATTTCACAGTGTTAAAAGTTTCAACTGAAGCAATTGTTTTGTTCTTCCTTTTCAATTTCCCTTTTTTCGCAACGTATCGACTCGATTGGCTTGCCGTGTCGGAATAGCTAAACCAAACAATAATTGAGAGAAAACACGATCCATGCGAAATTAATTGATGAAAATTATGATTGCTCCACCACGAAATAATAACGAACTCGTATAATGTATTCGTCGATTGGAATCTAAATGCAATTTTTACCAGTTAAACGACAGTCAGAACCGCTGACACGTTCTTTAATTTAATCGAACATTCTTTTTGTCGACAGACAGCAACTTTGTGCTGGGAAATGCGCAGGTTCCGACGATCTACCCGATCGTTTATTGCTCCGATGGGTTCTGCGAGCTGACAGGATTCGCGCGAGCGCAAATTATGCAGAAAGGTTGCGCTTGCAAGTTCCTGTACGGCCCGGAAACGAAAGAAGAGGAGAAAGCAATGATCGACAAGAGCCTCGAGAGCAAGACGGAACTGAAGATGGAAGTTGTGTTTTATAAGAAGAGCGGTAAGTTTTAGTACGGTCTTCTGAATTTCTTATCTTCAAATGCAGTCTTGTAAGTTGGAAAGTAAGCAATTACAGACAGTAGAACGCATCAATCTTTAATTTGCTTTCTTCTTGCAAGTCAAAGTTTGACTACTCTGATGGCTTATCTTCTCTAATTAGTTCGACCTGATTTTCACTTACGATTCTACGGTACAATTGAAGAAAGAGATGTTTTCTTTTTTTCTCACTCTATAAAAACGATAAAAATTGGTTGTACCATTTAACATAATTAGTGAAAGCGATTCGATGTAAACGTGTACACAATGATTGCATGGCTGCAACGAGATACATTTAATCAAAGTAATCGATTCAATTTGATTCTATCATATTTGTACAGGGGCAACTGTTCGCGTCAGCAATACGAATCATTATTCTATTCATTTTGTTTCCGATCGGCTTTCAAAATAGCAAGTTTAACTTCGCGTTTAACGAACCTCGATCAAAAGTTTTAACAACAGATCGTACTTTCGAATGTAAATTGATCAATTTGTCGGTCAATTAATTTCTATCAGGATACGCTTAACGAGACTTTTTGTTTGATTTTAACCAACAGGAAGCCCATTCGATTGTTTACTCGATATTGTTCCGATCAAGAACGAAAAAGGCGACGTCGTTCTGTTCTTGGCTTCCCACAAGGATATCACCCACACGAAGAACCTTCAGCTGTGTGAGTTGCACGATAGTGGTGAGTTCTAGCCAAGCTTTGCTGCTGAACTCAGCCTGACGAAACGATTTTCTCTGGAATGCATTTCGATCGACGTGACTGATGAATTGCATTCCAAAGTATCCGAGCACGGACCATACATCGGGTATGGATAAAACGTTCCCAATGTAACGTACTTTCTTTCAACGTATTACCTATCTAACGTTTCGTGCTTTCTACACCGCGATCACGCAACACGCTGCACGTAAACCTAAAATGCAACATCATTCTTCAAAGCAAAACACCCAAGAACGCAAATCAAAAGCCAGCCAACAGCTTCGAATAATAGTTTGCTTTTCTTGTAGAATTTACACATCACGCCATCCCGGTGTTACACGTGTTGCTCATTTACAAAATCGACGTGCATATTTTACTCGGAACGAACAATATTTTTACAATTTATGCTAGTTTCCTAAGCAAACAAATTTTTGAAAAAAAAAAAAAAAGAAAAATTCGCTTTACGTTTATTGATCAGGAATGTATATTTTTTATCTCAGAGTGCTTTAATTGCACGGAAGGTACAGTTTTAAACTGTGCAAAGTGCAAAGAAAGAAACGCGTCTACGACAACGGTCAAATTACATTTCAGATGCAAACGGTGGTCTCGATCCCGAGGCACCGCCGGCTAATTACGGCAGGAGAAGAAGTCGCGCCGTCCTTTATCAATTATCTGGCCATTACAAACAGGACAATAAGCACAAAATTAAATTGAGCAATGTAAGCGATTCGTGGTTGTTTTAACACGCGATCGATTCTTAATTTTATTTATCGTAAGACTCCCGTACGATTATTGTTTTAGAATCTTCTGCATTCCACCGCAGCACCTTTACCAGAATATAAAACAACGGGAATCAAAAAGTCTCAGTTCATTCTAAGTCACTACGGCGGCTTTAAATCTTGCTGGGATTGGTTAATACTCCTCGCAACGTTTTACGTGGCAATCGTCGTCCCTTTTAACGCGAGCTTCATTAACATCGACAGGCCTACAATGGTCAGCGACGTTGTCGTCGAGGTCCTTTTTATAATCGGTGGGTACACGTTTCGCACTCGTTACCTTCCTTTTCGTTTCATAGAAATTAATAAGCCTGATCGAATTGCAAAACGAACGGATTCTATTATAGAATACTCTACACACGTATCGATTGGTACACTTTTAAAATAATTCAATCGAGAAGAAACGAGAAGAAGGGTGGTGTTCTTTTTATTTCATCGGTGATTCGAGGAGCTACGATTCTCTCTTACCCTCTTACTAACTCACTCGTAGAATTTCTTCAGATTTTTCCAGGCTCGAACACGCTGAGATTTGCTTTATTTTTCATGCATTTATTTGCTTTTTAAATACAAACCCGATGCTGTGAAACGAGTTTCTATCGCGGTGTCGATCGCATCTTTTAGCACAAATCAGACTCCTCGAGTCACCTTTCGCAAGCGATACATTCATGCTACAATCACGGAATCAATTTATCGTGTTGAATATCGAGTAACGATGTTTCAAACGCGAAGGCTCTTCGTGGGTGTCCGATGAGATCGCATCTCTTTGAGAATAAAAAAGGGAAGTGGGTAGAATTTAATTTGCAAGTATACTACAAAAACTGTTTCACCGATTAAAGATCACCCTTTACCGGCTGTGTGGCTAAACTCGTTTCTAGTCGAAAGTTTAGCTGCTCGCGAGCATAACTTTACTTTAAACTAATTTGACGACCAACTTGCGAGCAAGCGAATTTTCGGACATAAATTTAGTTTCCAAACGGGATTAAAAGCAGTTCATCGTACGGGGATAAAGTTCCTTAACGCGGTTCCACATTTCCACGTTACGAAACTCGAAAGGACGACTAACTGCGAGAACAGTTTACCTTTGCTTTTGACCGAGACAAAGACCACGAGTTCCTACTTATTCTCGCTAATATGTATATAAATCAGTGAAAACGTATGAAATCTACAAAACAATCCTTTCACAGATATCGTTCTGAATTTTCGAACAACGTACGTAAGCAGAAAAGGCGAAGTCGTCAGCAACAGTAAAAGTATTGCCGTCAACTACGTAAAGGGCTGGTTTTTTGTCGATCTGGTCGCCGCTTTGCCCTTTGATTTTCTTTATGCCTCTGACGTTTACAGCGGAGAGGTGAGTAATTATCGTCAAATATTTAACGAGATAATACCAACTGACCGTGCGGATGCGTCAAAGAGATAAAGTTTCCATTCGCGTTTGAAGTCAGTTGAAATTTTCATCTCGACTATGAATGATTACGTCGCTAAAATCAAAAGAATCTGAAGAAGAAAGTAGTGGAAAGAGTTCGTTTCGCAGATGTCGATAAATTCGGTCAAACGACACATCGATTTCTCGTGTCGTGTTTTCTCCGGAACTCGGATGCGCTTGAATGCGATTCAAACGACGTATCTGATCGATGAATGGTACAATCATCTAGTCGTCGTAAGTTCGCACACCTCGAGAATTCGTTATTACATCGATTGTTATCAAATCGAATCACTGGGAATGTGTGCGAACACTCGATACAATACAAGTACAAATGTTACTACTCCGAGCAATAGGGTTAATCGATGTATTTTGACCATCCCGTTTCACGCATTACTAATAGCATATTTGTATCACAGGAATCGGGACACGGTAACATTCATTTAGTAAAATTAACAAGGTTGCTAAGACTGGCGCGATTACTTCAAAAGATGGATAGATATTCACAGTACAGCGCGGTGATTTTGACCATGCTGATGCTATTTTTTATCCTGGTGGCACATTGGTTGGCCTGTATTTGGTTTGTTATCGCAGAGAAAGAAAGATTAAGAAACGATAACGAATGGGACCTCGGTAAGTTTGCAATTTTGTTAAACAGCCTGCGACTTCTATGGAATACAAATGTCGATGAATAGTTACAATGAAATTTAGCCAAGAACCATCAATCTTTCGAACGGTTTATATTTGCTTCCCCTCGACAGAAACACGTGATCGTGAACATTTTAAGCAAGAAACCCCAAGCTGATCTGGGACACGTAACGTGTACAGTAGCTTAACCCTTGTACCTGCTTAGATATACAAATTGGCCCCCCGGTGCTCATTTCAAATAACCTGTCTTTGGAGAACTTTGGACTCTATGTGGAAACAATGCTCGGGAAAGTTGACGAGCTATATTCGCGTTAAACCGCGAAGTTAACACTTAAGGGAAAGTGTATCACGTAATTTAATCGGAAACGTTTGCCTGTACTATACATGCTCTTGTAATGCTGTTACCGTTTAATCCCGAGGCTCGAACTTTGATGCGCTCAAAGAAGAGACTGCCGGCGACTTTGGCATACTTGTACGCGACATTTTGCTGCAAACGCGGCCTGTTTTAAAATAGTTTGCCACCGGGCAATCGATCAACGTGTAACTCGACTTTGTATTCTACAGAGGAATACAAATTTTAATCAAATGAATTTTTCCAGGCTGGATTCACACGTTGGCGGAAAGATTAAAAATTTCCGTGAATAATGTAACGCACGCGGAAAGCTACATCACAGCGTTGTATTTTACTTGCAGCAGTTTAACGTCGGTAGGATTTGGAAACGTTTCGGCCAACACGTTCTCCGAAAAATTCTTCTCGATTTGCACGATGCTCATTGGCGGTTAGTAATCGTGGTCAATCAATACGTTTGTTCCGTAAGGATTATCAATTAATTACTCAATAATCAATTAACGGTTATACTATCCTTGTTTGGCCGAGAATTGACATGTGTACGCGCATTAGAGGCAAACGATATTAATTAGGACGAAACAAATTTATCCGTAAATGTACAGTAGGAAACATTAGCACATTGTATACGTATTGTGTATGCTATACAGCTCTGATGCATGCCGTGGTGTTCGGTAACGTGACGGCGATTATTCAAAGAATTTACTCTAGAAGATCGCTGTATCAAACGAAATTGCGAGATCTCAAGGATTTTTTCGTGCTGCATCAGATACCGGAGGAATTAAAACAACGTATGCAAGACTACTTCCAAACAATGTGGTCCCTGAATCACGGTATCGATATACACGAGGTAAAGTGCACGATGACGAACGGTAAATAATTGTGCTACGTGACGCGATAATGCCATATACCTACATATATGTATCTTCACTGTGTGAAATTAATTATACAGACCCGACGTATTAATCCTTTTAGACCCTGAAACAATTTCCCGAGGAACTCAGGGGAGACGTTTCGATGCATCTACATCGTGAGATATTAAATTTACCAATATTCGAAGCTGCTTCTCAGGGTTGTCTCAAGTTACTTTCTCTCCGAATTCGAAATAATTTTTGCGCACCTGGCGAATTTTTGGTTCACAAAGGAGACGCGCTCTCGTACATCTACTACTTGTGCAACGGTTCCATGGAGGTCGTGCAAAACAATATGGTCGTTGCAATTTTGGGTAGGACACCACGAGATATTTATTAATCTAAATCGATATCTTTGTATTATGCAATTTAATTTAATTTAAAGGGAAAGGTGATCTTGTGGGCTGTGACATAAACGTTCACCTACAGCATAGCAGTAATGGGGGTGGAGCTGGTGGTTCAGGATCCGATGTCGTGGTCAAATCGAGTTGCGACGTGAAAGCGTTAACCTACTGTGATTTAAAGTGCATAAACATGCACGGGCTGGTCGAAGTGCTTCGATTATATCCCGAATATCAGCACGAGTTCGCAAACGATATACAACACGATCTTACTTACAATTTACGAGAAGGATACGAAGCCGAGGTAATCTTTGACTGTTCAAAAACTACACGAGGCATAAAAGAAGAAACGATACAATTTTCGCGGCGATGCCTTTTTCAGCAAGAGTCGGATATGAACGGACCATCGTTAACGCTACCGTCGATCAGCGAAGACGATGAAAACGTACCTGAAGAGGGAGAGACCTCGCCTTTATCGCCACCAAACAAATCACCTTTGCATACGTCGAGCCCGAGACACGCTAAATTTAGGTAAGTCTATCTGGAATCGCTTTAATTACGTCTATCTATTCTCCACCGTGAATCATAGGGATGACTATCGAGAAACAAGGAGACACGGAAGAGGGGTTTTAGTTCGAGGAAGAGCAGCCCAAATGATCGCTCAAGAATCAGTGGAGGACCATATTCGCGGATCGGTGGAAAGGCTCGACACACAATTTTCTACGTTACACCAAGACGTTGCTACTCTGAGTAGCGAGGTAGGTGTAGGTGTTCGAGAACAAACGAGTAGGTAGGCGGTGTTTTATAGAGATACACCAAAGTCTTTAATACCCTTTCTGTTCGATAATAAAAATAGGTCAGAAATGCCATTCAAGCTCTACAAATACTAGCATGTTCGCCACAAAGTAATCCGAATTTACCAACTCCTGCGAACCGAGGGAGCGGCGTTTTAGCGAGAAGTTCGTCCCACCCACCGGATGCTCTATGCTGGGATCCTCCTCCGAGGATGTCCGACGCATCGACGCAAACCGACTGGCCGGTGGATTTGTTCGAATCTTGGGTCCGAGCGAATCCTCAAAGAGTCCTGAGGATTCTCGAACTCGACCCAACTACTCTATCGAGGCAACCTCCGTCTCCGACACCGTCTCCGTCTTCTCCTCCTCCGCCACCATACGAACCCCTATCACCTGTGGCAGGTACTCCGCCGCAATCACCATCCCCCTCGCCAGGTACTTGTTCAAATTATTTTATTCCATTGAAATTCATCTAATTACCACTTCTAATCAGGACGATAATATTCGCGCAAACTATTCCCCCAGGTAATGATAATTTCGTTTTCGGCAATAATCACGGAGAACGACACATTCCTCGTTTGTACAAACCGACGAATTCTAGCTGGGATCCGGAGAACAAATTATCGCATCGATTTAGCGCCGGTGATGCCGATAACGCGTCTTTGTATCAAGCGTTTAGCACTATGCGCCGACTTCCGGAATCACGCTCGTTAAAATTTGATCCCTTCGATAGCTGAACATTTCCAAAAAACATATCAGGGTTATCAGCCTTAGAGCACACCCAACAGACAGAGAATTTGTAGGCCCGCCACGATCAAACCAAAGCAAAATTCGATGGCTAAAATTCATTCGTCAGATGTACTCTCGCGTTAATAAAGTTTATCGCGTCTGTTCATTTTCTTACACACGCGAAATAGTTGAACTGTAGTTGAACCTGATCACTACTTACGAACAATCAATATTACGTGATGTTGCTCGTTTCGTTTTCTATCGGTGACTTCGTTAGACTAATCAATTGAAAACTATCTTTATCTAAAACGTGTTTTCTAATCGGATCTTCTAATTCGAACGCTTGCAATTCGACTGGTCCGTGTAAATATTGGCAACCTATGTGTCCTCTTGTACGTGCAACGATGTCACAAAGTTTTTCCAAAATTTCCTGAACCCGCAGAAATACGAGAAACGTTCAACGTTTAATATCGCGGCAACTTTGTTTGAATGAAAAGAAAAAACTTTAAAGATATCACAAAAGGAAATTTTAAACTTTAGCGTAGCAATAACGTGCACAAGAAATTTCGATGTATCCTGTAACGTCCAAGTTAGATTGTAGTTATGGTAAAGTAAGTAGCCATCGTTCGAGCATTTACTATCGCATTAAACACAAGATTGATTTCAAACAATGAATCACTTAATCGATTCGAAATGAATGTATCATATTAAAACTGTATCGCGCGGGTGTGTATCCAATTGTAAGTATCACTTGAATGGATTCAATGTAAATAGCGTATCGCTATCAAAAATATGTGATAAGGCACGGCTTTGGCCATGCACAACAATTGTATTCGTTCATCTTTCATCGTCATTTGTGAAACACTCGGATCGGTAACAATAAAAGTTACCTGTGTAATTATGAAATCTAGTACCTATAGATGAGAAGGCTGCTTCACAATTCCGGTCACAGTGCCGTCAGATCGCGTCAAATCAAACCTCGGTCAATATAATTTTAAATGCAATCCAATTTTAAACGTGTCGTTATTGTTGAGTGTGAAAATTTTTAATAAAATCCTGTACTATGACCGATCGTGATCTGAGCTTATGTTCGACCTCACGTATGAAGCAGGTTTTAATGCCTACGTCTCGATACGTATAATTTGGATACGAATACGTTGAGAAAACAATCATTACATTGGACGAATAATATTATTATCGAAAGACCAACCATCGTAAAGCACTCGAGTCTAGTCATAGTAGGAATCTTACAATTAGACCAAGTATTGATAACGTCATAATTTCACAAATGTCAATGAAAGCAGCTGTTTTATAAATATTTCATATATTTTGTTATACTATTTCTATGCTCCTCACCTTATAATTCAAGCTAAACGTATTGTAATATTATCTATTCAACCTGTATCTCACGTATTCTACTACTTTTTACACTCTTCGAGTAACTTACAAAAGGGAAACGTTCGTCATTCTTAACATACATAATATGGGAATGTCAGTAAGCACAAAATGAAACACGTATGTTTTTAAAGTTGATGAATTTCCGAAGAATGTTGAAAGATATAAAATTATCATTCGGTATACCGATTCGATTCGAAATTAGAGTTAAAATAAACAGAAACAAATTATTATTCGTGTTATACGCGTGTTCACGTGCGTGTGTATTTCTCCCTGTACGAAGTTACAATTAGTTGATAAGTTTATGTCAAGATGCAAATGCATCCTCGAATTATCAAAAATTTAGCTAAACTCGATGAAATTTTTTATCACACACTTTTTTATCTAAACTAGTTAGAGAAAAACTTCGAATGAACGGCCTTAAAATAAAGATTTATTTTTTTCACTGTTCTTGAATATCACGATCTAAATCTAAATGTTTGACCTAAACCGACGCTAATGGTCTCCTCTCGAAAAACGTGATGAGATCAGATTACCAAACATCTTAAAACTACGTACTAATTGGGATACGATACGACAACCAAGGACTAACCGGTCGAATCGATTTAAAAAAATATTTTATAACGTTTGTACGTTGTATTATCGAACATGAATGTAACAAATTATCATTCTTACCTTTCTTTACAGGCGTCGAATATCAAATCTTTTGATATCGGTTAAAAAATACATATAAATATTGTACAAATACGAATAGACGAATGTATCATTCTAAAGCGACAGGATATATTTATAGTTAACACTGTCAAAGAACGACGATATCTTGAAAGTACCAATGTTAACGAATGCATAGTTTAAAAGAAACAAAAGAACAAAAGAAAATAATACTTTCGCTGTTAAAACGCGCCTGTTGTACAAACTTTCCATTGATGATTTCAACAAGGAATAAACAACGGTAACGTTATTTTAATGTCACGCATTATACATTTTAGCAACACGAAAAAACTAAGTAGTATTACTTCACGAACGAGAAGAAAAACTAATCTATCGAAATCTTTCAGGCGTTTGTAAATATTCTTCAATGCTTATTGTACAGTGTGCATCTTATAATTGGCATAATTTGTTCATTTGTCTTATTATAAAAAAATAAAAATGAGCACGAAATATTTAATAAAAACTGTTCTTTTAAATAAATTGACTTGAACTAATCGTGACATAACCACTGTTAACGATGATTCCAACGCGAGGTTATAAAAAAACTGATAATAAAATGTTAATTGTAAAAATGAATATGTATTACGTGTATTTGGAAACAATACCATAACAAATTATCTTTCCCTTCCTTTTGTTGTAAACTTTGAGTTCAACAAAGTAGTTTTACGAAAACTACGCAGTTGTACGTTGTTCTCAAGAAATGAACGACCGGTATTTACCGGTGCTGATTTTTATAGTTTAACAATTGAAACACTTACCTGTTTCATCTGAAGACCGGACAAATGTGACGAAGAATGAATCACAAACCACAAATCAGTTGTTGAACGAGAAAAATCTGTCGACAAGAAAGTACGCCATTTGTATTTCCTCGTGCAACAATGATCATGGCGTATAACATGACATTTTATGATCGATATCGATATTTTCCTTCCAATTGTTTTAATCTATTACGTACACCGATTGTCAGTATCATATTAAGTCTAATTTACTTACTAATTTGCAAGAAGAAGCTGCTTTCCAACCACTTCTATTCACCACTTGTAGCAACGTGACACTTCGTCCTCCTCGTGTCTCTGACCGATCACGACCACTACTGAAATCAATTCAACCGGCAAGACGCACTACATTAGCCGGAGGGCTGTTTACATTTTCGTGAAACGAATTCTGTATACTGTTTAATCAAAGTTATATGAAGCTAAATGACCATGAAATATATAGAACAATCAATTTTATATTTTTATTTTAATGTTTACGTTTTGTGTTGAAATTTAATTTCACACTTGAGTTGTATATATATGTTTGAAAATATTCAGAATAGTTTAGTTAATAAAAATTATAAAAACATTATGAATCAAAATTAAAATTAAAATTTTTTATTATCTTTAGCAAGCATATTTTTACTAAAAAATTATTCGTATTATTTTTTTGTCTTGTTTAAACAGTACGATTCAAATGTTGTGCGTAGTAGTCACGTGACCGTTTCAGTTAGTTATTGTAATATTCGCGAAACGTGCGCGTTACTCTCGTTAAATCGTGTGATTTTGTTTAAAATCTTTCTAAATTAATGAGTATTAATGTGATATAAAGTGAACAAAGTGTGAAATAAGCAAGTGGGCAGTGAATGTGGTAAGTTTTTTGAAATATTAAGTATAATATCAAAAGATATACGAATATGATTTTGCACAACTATTGGCCGGGTACCGTAGTTTTGGAATTTTTCATCATTTTATCTTTTTTCTTGCATTAAATGATTCGTATTACTTTTTAAACGATCAATTCTCATATAGAATGCTACTCAATAATTTGTTTAATTGTATTTCTTTGTTTTGTGACAGATATCTGACATAATTGGATTACATGAAGAGAACGAGAATCTACGGTCGCACGAAGCATTCTACAAATGGTGAGTCATATTTTTATGAAGTATCGTACTGTATTGCTTAAGTATCAAACTATGCTTAAGTATACTTAGGTATACAAGCAAATTGAAACAACTTTTAATTTTTATGTTAATTAATAACTTTTTTTAATTAACATTGTTTTAAAAATATTATAATACATATATTAGAAACATTCTGAAAACACAGTTCAGAATCATGATAATGATCTTGAGGTTAATAAACTGCGATTTATACAATTTTGGTAAACTAATGTGTATAAATATTAAATATTATACAATAATAAGAATGATACATATGATATAAGAATATATTGTTGAGCATATAAGGGCGGGTGTATATTATAAACAAATAATCTACATATGAGTAGGTGATAACATGATAATAACATTTATCATAACATGATAAAGCTACATACGAATTATTATATTAATTAGTCTTGATATGCATATCCCCTAAAATCGGGATCTTTTTTTCTTTATAAAATGCGGTATACCTTGTGCTACAAGATGTCGCTAAGCGTACAAATTCTTATCATTTCGGTGTCGGTAAGAGAAGGATGGAATTTTACGAAAATTTGATAAACCTTCATTTAGATTACTTTAGTGCTCGTGAGCAGTCCACTTTGAACTAGCACTTGTATTTTAAACTTCTGTAAATATTACAGTTATTAAAAATAGTTTATTTTAAGTTCTTTTAAATCAATAAAAGTTCAATATATTTATATCTTTTAACTGTCAATCCAAGTGTCACATAGTATTGTCAAAATGAGTAACGAAAAGACGGTGCCGAATGCAATAAAATTCCTTTTTGGAGGAACTGCAGGGTTTGTTTTCCTTTTTTTTTTATTGCAAATAATCTTATATTAAATAGTACATATGAACATTAAGAACTTTCATATACAGTTCATAGTAGATGTGCAATAGTTTTTTATATTCTTCAAAATAAGTTTAACTTTGCATATTTCATGAAAGTAAAAATAATTTCAAGGCCTTGCCATATTTTTGTATCCATACTTCGTTAAAGAATTAGGAAGTTCATATTATAAATCTTATTTTAGAATGGCTGCCACTTGTTTTGTTCAACCATTAGATTTAATAAAAAATCGAATGCAATTAAGTGGTACAAAAACATCAGCAATAAGTGTAATGTCTTCAGTGACAAAAAATGAGGGTTTCTTAGCTTTTTATTCGGGTTTATCTGCTGGTTTATTGCGTCAAGGTACATATACTACAACCAGACTTGGTGTCAATGCATGGTTGTATGAAATTGTTTCGTGAGTACCTTTTTGTTTTGTTGATTGCATAAGGATATAACAAATATTATATACTCTATTTGTCACTATTTGGCATTCCTGATATTCAGAAAGGATAGCCCGCCAAACTTCCTTATGAAAGCATTAATAGGTAGTACTGCTGGTGCTATAGGAGCATTTGTAGGTACACCTGCTGAAGTTGCTTTGATTAGAATGACTGCAGATGGTAGACTACCTGTTGGTATGTCCATAAACTTGTGGATTGTTTAATAGGAATTCAACACTTCTTAGTATTGCTATATTTTTAGTTGAGAGACGAAATTATTCAAATGCATTTAATGCATTAGTTCGTATAGCCAGAGAGGAAGGTTTTTTAGCATTGTGGAGAGGTACTGTTCCAACAATGGGAAGGGCTATGGTTGTAAATGCAGCTCAGTTAGGATCATATTCTCAATCTAAAGAAATATTGCTTGATACTGGTTTGTACAAATGTCAAAAACTAATATCAATTGAAGGGTGTTCCAATAATTGTTTATATTCTTTCTTCATTTTATGTGAGTAGGCTATTTTGAAGAAGGTATTCCATTACATTTTGTAAGTTCCATGATATCAGGTTTAGTAACAACTCTTGCTTCTATGCCAGTTGATATTGCTAAGACAAGGTAAATGTTACATGATACTTAAATAGCAAATAGTTGGGCACATATTTTTACACACTGCTTACAGGATTCAAAACATGAAAATTGTGGATGGTAAACCAGAGTTTAAAGGTGCAATAGATGTCATAGTTCAGGTGTGTAAAAATGAGGGATTATTTTCATTATGGAAGGGATTCTTTCCTTATTATGCTCGTTTAGGTCCTCATACTGTTTTGACATTCATTTTCTTTGAGCAAATGTTTAGCATATATAAAACATATAAAGCTTAACAACAGATACTACAAACCTTATGCATATATATTCCAAATAGTTGTAATTCAATGTGTTTCTTGAATAATATATAATCATCTATATTTCATGCAAATCTTCCAAAAAATACACTTAGAAGATAGTTCATATATAGTATTGTGCAATATCATCATTTTATAGTCAGTACATATTTTTTCTTTAAATGCACAGTTCTTATTAAGTTTTTAGCAAATTGACTAGTAAAGATATTTTATAATTTGAACATTGGTTCCAAGCTACTTTGTACAAACTTAAATGTACAAATTTTATTTGTAACTTAGATTATTGTTAGGACCCTTTACATGTTTATTTTTATATTGATAAATCTGAATATCTTTAATGTATAAAACTGCCACATTCTATGAACATTCTTTTAAAAGTTAGAGGGAGACAGAGCAAACAAATTGTTCAATATATTTTTTTTTATATGTTTATAAGATAGAAAAAAGTATTCTATTATTTTGTAATATTTTTATGTATGTACAAGGTTTGTTATCATAAATTCCAAGTTAGTCAAAATATTTGCAATAAATGTCATTTTATAGGATTTGTATGAATTAAAATACAATAAAATGTATAAGTATAGTGATTAATACAGTTATTAACACATTTATTGTATGTTACTTAAACTGTACAGATTATTGTTAAATAAAACAAAGAAAATTATTTTTGTGTATAATTTACACGTGTATTTATTACCATTTGAAATATTAGAAAACGTTGTTAAAAAGAAGACCCTTGGCTTAATCATTCTGTGCTGTATATTGTGTAAGCTAATGAAACTAAAGTGAAATGACCTCTCCAATACATACTTATTTGTATACACGTCGATACACGTTCACCGCGACACTTGTACGGCATTGAGAATTGATTAGCACAATTAATTTTTATTTAAAGCATCGACAACATGTTTAAACTTGTTTTGAACGTTTTATGCATATTAGAATCACACTTGGATTTGCAGATAAATAGTTGACAAATAGTATTTCTTTATGATAAGGTTATATGTTTCGTATTTAGAAGGAAATATTTAAACGTATTTATTATGATCAGTAAATAAAGCATAGAAATGGATACATAGTATTCATTATATTTTTTAAACTAGTTATATCTCCAAGTTTTATTTAAAATTTGACTCAATGTCACGGAAAAAGAAAGGTGAAAACTGGGGGGAAAGTGGATTTGAAGATTGGGTATGTAACAAGATAGCTATTATTATCTCATTGAATTAATCAAGCTGGAATATGTTAGGTATGGAATAATAATTTTAGGGTGGGTATATGGCTGCTAAACAAGCTAAATTAGAGGAACAGTTTCACAGTGAAGCCATTAATGAAACTAAGACATCAGAAATATTTCAAGGAATTGCAATTTTTGTAAATGGTTACACTGATCCAACTGCAGATGAACTTAGACGTTTAATGATGAAACATGGGGGTGCATATCATCATTATTTGAGACCAAAAGTTACAACTCACATTATTGCAACTAATTTGCCATATTCTAAGATAATGTTATATAGAAAAAGTCAAAATCCAACTCCTATATGTAAACCTGAATGGATTGTGGATAGTATAAAAGCTGGTAGAATTCTGAAGTTTCAGAATTATCTGCTTTATTCACATTGTACAGATGTACAACCAAAATTAAATTATATAGTAAAAAGTAAAAAAGGTGAAGAGAATGTTATTCTTCAAGAGAGTAATAAAGCACAACCAAATAATGAAGCAAGTAGTTCAACAAATAATATTGATAATAAACATGTGACAGCAAAAAGTAACATCACAGATCAAGTTACTTCAAATCACTCAATACCTTCCAGTTCAAGAGATGCACGTTCATCAAAAAATTCAGGATTTATATCAGAATTTTACAGTCATTCGCGATTACACCACCTCTCAACTATGGGAACCACATTCAAAGATTATGTTAATGAATTAAGGGATAAAAATAATGGAGAATTTCCTGGCCTTATTAAATTGAAAGAATTAAAACATATAAAATTACATAGATTATCCTTTGATTCTCAATCAAGCTTTAATAATGAACTCCCTGATTTACAAGAAGAGAATAGGACAGAAATTAGCCAAGATCCTATTATAATGCACATAGATATGGATTGCTTTTTTGTCTCAGTTGGTCTCAGAGATAAGCCAGAATTAAAAGGTTTACCTATTGCAGTAACACATGCAAAGGGTAATAAAAATCCTGCAAATAATAGTAAACCAGCTTTAGATGATGAGCAGGGTTCATTATCAGAGGTAGCATCTTGTTCTTATGAGGCAAGGAAAGCTGGGGTGACAAATGGCATGTTTTTAGGGGAAGCATTAAAAGTATGTCCCAATTTAAAAACAATACCATATGATTTCGAAGGCTATAAAGAGGTTTCTTATATTTTATACGATACTGTAGCGTCATACACATTAGATATCGAAGCAGTCAGTTGCGACGAAATGTACGCAGATTGTACAAAAATATTGGACGAATCTTGCTTAACACCAATGGAATTTGCAGCTGTAATTAGACAAGAAATAAAAGATAAAACAGGTTGTCCTGTATCAACAGGATTCGGAAATAATAAATTATTGGCTAGATTAGCGACAAAAAAAGCTAAACCAAACGGTCAGTTTTACATACAACGAGAAAATGTTGAAAGATGTATCGGTACTTTTAACGTACAAGATTTGCCAGGTAGGATAACTATAATGTAAATTATCATATACATGGGTATATAAGAACATAATTAGTTAATAATGTACTCATTTAAATTAGGGGTTGGATATACAACATCGCATAAATTGAACAATATTAATGTGAAAACATGTACGGAATTGCAAGCAATTTCATTGTCGACCTTACAAAAGGAATTTGGCAAAAAAACGGGGGAAATGTTATATAATATGTGTCGCGGTATAGATCATTCGAAACTTAACTTAGAATATGTTAGAAAATCGGTCTCTGCCGATGTTAATTACGGAATAAGGTTTGATAATAATGAAGAAGCAATAGAATTTCTAAAAAAGTTATCTCAGGAAGTATGCAATCGATTGAAAAATGTTAATGCGAAGGGTAGGTGTATTACACTAAAACTATTAGTTAGGGCAAAAGAGGCACCAAAAGAAACCGAAAAATTTATGGGTCATGGTTTGTGCGATTGTATAACAAAATCAAAAAATCTTATCGCTCCTATTAACGATGTTGATATTATAACAAAGTAAGTGAAGAAATTATTTAAGTACTTCTTTATTATACACGTGTGCGCGTGTATAATATAGACGTGTAAATTATTAACGTATTCTTTAGGGAGGTAATTGCACTTTGGAATCAAATGCAAAAAATTCCCGAAGACGCAAGAGGCATCGGTATCCAAATATCCAGATTAGAAGTATTAAAAAATAAATCGCGCCACGCAACTTTATCGAGTTTCATTAATAAGAACAAACAAGGTGACGCGCCTCATCGATGTGTCGAAACAAATCAAGATAACGTAGCTCAATCTCTAATAAAAGCTACAAATGTTATGCCATCAACTTCTAAAAGTGTAACTTCCACTGATAAAGAGAAGTTTTACATTCCATCTGTAATCAATGAATCGATTCTCGCCGAACTTCCAGAAGAAATACGAAATGAAATTTTGGATGCGAAAAGAAACGAACACTTAACTATTGTACCGAGAAACGAGAAGCAAGATGTTAAAGCGTCAAAAGCTGACGAGAAAAAATCTGAGAAAGGTATACAAACGAAACAGGAACAATTTTTTAAACAATCTAAACCTGGTATTCCAAAATCGACGAAGGTGGAGATGCCGCCTATACATGAGATCGATATGTCTGTTCTGATAGAACTGCCCGAAGATATACGAAATGAAATACTTAACGAATATAGTGTTAGAAAGCACCAGAATCAACCGAATAATGTTAACACAAATGAAAACAGTAGTGCTACAGTTTCAACTGATAGCAGAGTTCAACAAAATACTCGCGACGAGGAAAATATATCTTTTTCACAAGTAGATCCTGAATTCTTAGCCGCGTTATCCGAAGATCTAAAACGAGACGTTCAAATGTATTGCACCGTCAAGAAAGCGGAATGTTCGAAAACTAAAAAAGATGAAACAACTCGTAACGTACAATTAACTAAAGTTGAATGTACAAAACAGAGTAAAAAGATTGAACTTAATTCGAAAACGAAAGGTAATGGCAAAAATTCTAAAACCGCACCTTCCAAGAACAAGAAGAAAGGTATACAAGCTGCGTTCAAGAAATTGAACAATGAACGCGAGTCGAAAAATGTACCCAACAATAGAATCAATGGTACCACAAAAACTGTAATATCTTGCAAGGAAACAACCGAATCTGTTAACAATCAGATTACCGCGGACGAAGCCGAGGCTATTCTTTCCCATAACCGAACTATCTTAGAAAATGATGATAGTGAAAATCAACATCAAGATACTTTAATTAAACTTGTAAATCGTTTACTTAATCTCCCACTCGAACAGGTAGGGTTTGTATATTTTTTTACAACGTTTAAAAAGTGTGTAGTGACAAGATGATATTTAATTTTCGTAAAGTTACCTTTTATGACAAAGCGGGAAACGAGGGCTGCATGCTCGATAATGTTATCCGTTTTGGGTACTTTTTGTGGAATCAATGCAAATATAAAACACACGGTTGCAGGTAAAGATGCAAATACAAATATGGATCACTAATTCTAAAACCGTGAACGAAGTAGATTTTTTGTCGCTTGCAACATTTCTTAGCATGCTTCCGGAGAAGAAGCGTATCGAAGATTTACACGTGTTGTTGAAAACCATGCATAGGTAATCTATACTTGATGTAAGATTCATTCATACACCCCCTAAAATAGGTAGAATATATTAATAATATAACACAGAGGATTCAGGGGATAGATATCATTTTACTCGCTTACGATTGATAAATAAAAATGATATTAAAGATAATACATTAACTTATCCATGTTCGCACTTTTTTCTTTTAGATGTATGACAAAAAGTGGAAATTGCATTTGGCATAGGACATATAGGAAAACAGTAAAATACGTTCAACATTATATGCAAATTGAGTATAACAGCAATCTAATGGTACCATCAATTAAATGCAATCTTTTACAGTGTAACAGTGATGTAA